TATATATATATATATATATATATATATATATATATTTATTTGTGTTTAGATTTGTGCTTATATATATATATAAATTAGTATGTGATCAATAATATTTTTGGATATTCTAGTGGCAACATGAAACATAGTGGGGACTTTAATCATGTGGCACTGGACTCTACTTTTTCTTCTTTTCACCAGTTTGTGGACTGCTCCATCAGGAGAAACAGGACTGGTGACCTGTTATATGCTAATGTGAGGAAAGCATACAGGGAAACCCCACTACCACCACTGGGAAAATCTGACCACAGTCTGGTCTTCTGTACAAACCCACTGGTACTGAGACAGCCCATCATCATGCACTCACTCCGAATTTGGTCTCTTGAGGCGGAAGAAGCTCTCAAGGACTGCTTCAAGACAACAGACTGGAATGTACTGCTAGACCCGCATGGGGAGAACGTAGAGGGAGCGACACACAGCATTACTGACTACATGAACTTATGTAGGGACGCTGTTGATCCCACACAGACTGTATGCTGCTTCCCTAACAATAAGCCCTGGATTACCAGCAACGTCAAGGTCCTCCTCAACAGGAAGAAAGGGGTGTTTGAAGATGGCACACGCATGTTTGTGTGTGTCTGTACATGCTTGGATATATATGTATGCTTACATATATAGTAGTATGTATTAGTAAATGGACTGTAGCACCTTTCAATCTTTTAGATACTTGAAGCTCTTTACAACACAGCCCTCATGTACACATTCATACTGCACTTTACTATATCGAAGTATAATCAGTGTTTTAGATCACATTCATACCCCGATGGGACACAAATCGGAAACAACGAGGGGTTCAATGTCTTGCCCAGGGACACTTCGGCATGTGACTGCTGACAGCCACAGCTGCCCACCCCCACCCCGCACCCCCCTTCAGTATAGTAGTGTGTATCTTCATGATTGTACTGCCCTCTACTGCCGTGTGCCTTTGCATGTCTTTTTCAGTTTTGTGTAATCTGTGTTTTTTGAAAATATATTTTTTAATTCTATCATTTAGCAAATGCTACTGGATGCCTTGAATCCACCCCCCGCCGGGGATTGATAAAGTATCTATCCATCCATCTTTCGTCTGTCCTCTAGTGCAAGATAAGGTTACAGCTTTATTGTTTTTTTTTTCTTTCTATGTATAAGTTTTAAACTAATATTTATTGCTGTCTGTATTATTGACTGATTTTATGTTCTCGGCAGATCTCAGTTTTACACACCAACCAACCAAAATATCTGATGTAAAGTCTTGATCAATAATGAGATTTTTATGATGATGCTTAACAATAAACCTTGTTTAATTTATTTACTTTTATTCGTTAAACATTTGTAATTTATTTGCTGGCCTGGAGTTCAATAAATTCCAAATAAACTTATTCCAGTTTATTTTAATTCACTTAAAAAAAACACTATTAATCCCAAAGAGAAATTAAATGTAACTCATCATCATCCTGGTTTCATTAGAGTTGTTCTAGATGCTGATGGCTGTGGGCAGGAAGGATCTCTTGTCTGTCTTGCAGCGGATCTGAAGAAGCCTCTGACTGAAGACTGTTGTTGTATGATAGTGATGAAGAGGATGCTGAGGGTTGTCTATAATGTTCTTCATTTTATGAAGAATCCTTTGGTGCTGCTACCACAGCAGATGATGGCAGAAGAGATGGTGCTCTCTACAGCAGACTTATAGAAGATATGCAGCATCTTGCTGCAAACGTTGAAGGACTTCAGCTTCCTCAAGAAGTACAGTCTGCTCTGTCCCTTCTTGTAGACGCTTCACTGTTGTGTTTCCAGTCCAGTCTGTTGTCCAGGTGAACCCCAAGGTATTTATACTTCTCCACCACCTCCACTTCTTCTCCCATGATGGAAATAGTGTTGGACCTGTTCCTGTTTCTCCTGAAATCTACAGTCATCTCCTTTGTTTTATTCACATTCAAGATGAGATGATTGTTTCCACACCATGCCACAAAGCGGTCCACCAGTTCCCTGTACTCAGCTTCTTGTCCATCTCTGATACACCCGACCACTTCAGAGTCATATCTGAATATTTCTGCAGGTGACAGGAGTCTGTTTTATACTGGAAATCTGAGGTGTACAGAGTGAAAATGAGTGGTGAAAGTACTGTCCCCTGTGGTGCTCCTGAGCTACTGACCACCTGGTTAGACACACAACCCTTCAGTTTCACAACCCTTAACAAAAAGTAGTACATTTGAAGTTTATTTTTGCAAGTATACTTTAAGTTAAGAATAAGTATATCAAGTATACTACATACCATACTTGTAGTGTACTAGAAGTATACTGATTTAATACTTGTTTGGACTAAACTGGGACATTTTTATACTATTTTTAAGTATACCAAACAAAGTTTATAAAAAGTAAACTTCAAAGTACACTTCCTCATTTTTAGTGTAAAATAAGTATACTTGCAGTACACTTAAATAAACTACTTTTTGCTAAGGGAAACTGGTCTGTTTGTCAGGTAATCTATGATCCAGGTGATTGTTGAGGCCTCCACCTGAGTCTTCTGGAGTTTCCGAAAGTTTTTGGAGAATTTAAAGGATTTAATTTCAAGTTGCATCATAAGCAAACTTTTCTTTTAAGTGTAACAAGAGGTGAGTTATTCAACATATTTAGATAAATATACATTTCTGTAAATCCTGGAATGTTTTTATTGAAAATTTATTTCCCCCACTCAATTAGTAGCATAATATTGTTATAACTCTTGCATAGAGTTATAACTATTTTTTATAAGAAAAAAAAATTCAGCTGAGAGGTGGTGTGCTGCAGTAATTAGTTGTGCTTTGTCTTGGTGGTGACAGGCATCACAACACATACACAGTGAGGGGCATGCAGAGGGGGCGACATGGACGCTCTGCCAGCACAACTGGATCAAAGAAAAGGAATCGCAGCAGATCTCTTCGAGGTTCGGCATCGCACCGACCAGAGTCCAGGATCAGTCTGTCAGGTGCTGTCAGAGTCTATAAACACTGGGGCATCAGATAGCATTTAACAAAACAAAAGCTGTTTTACTTTTTCACTATGACAAGCTCTCTCATTTGTGATATTTCCATTTTGGCGTAGTGAATTTGTTGGAGACGAGCCGACTGATGATGATAACTCATTCAGCTGTCAAGCCCCTAATGGAAGCTGTAATATCTGAATGTAGATTATTGGTGACTCATGGAGGATTTGAACAGTCTACACAAGACATAAGAGGAAAAATGAATTAATCATGAGACATGAAGTGAAGCGGTGAGCTCCCTGTGACAGTTCGGATACTGTGATTACTATAAATGCAATGGTTTTCCAGAATGGTGCCTGGGGGTCTCCAAAATTGGATTAGTGTTCACTTTTGCCACCAAATGCTTCTGTGGGTCGGCGGGGGGGAGGGGATTTGATATACGTCATAAGGAACTGTTTAGGTCTTAGCATGAAATATGTTTGACAAGAAAATTTGAAACAGGAATTTAAAACCAGTATAAGATCAGAACAACCAGTTCGCTCGCTATGATGACATCAACTCAAGAGTCCAAACTTCACCTAACGACTCATGTTTGTCTGTTGTTGTCACAGCGGAGTGAACCACAGCAACAAAAGCTGAATGTGACAACAATAACCTGCTTCCTCTCTCTACTCCTGGGCTTTAATGGAGCTGGTGCAGACTGACAGGAAGGAAATGGCATGGCTTTGGTCTCTATTTACTATTTATTACACCAAATTTCTCAGAGGTACCAGAGGAGAGGTTTGGTGTTGGTGTGTAATTGTGTTAAAGCCCACCCACATGCTGTCCCTGATGCATCTTCTGTCTCCTCTCCTAATCTGTGCTGTTTGTCTCCAGATAAGTGATATCCTCCTCAGATTAGGATCCAGTGTCCCTGTTCTTCCGGAGAGAAAAAGGAATCCCCAATGCATTCCCATGAGGTGCGCGCAGTATTTTTAGCTGCCTAATCCTTTTATAGTTTGAGTGTTAAACGTCATCCTTCACTTAATTGACCTGGGTATCATCAAACAGTCTGCCAGCAGGATCATTTGATTCTAGTTATTCATTTTTTCTACATTGTTTATGGAGCATACGTTTTAAAGCTGGACTTTCTGCTTTTAAGGAAGCAGTGATTTGTCAGCAGAGGCCATGACATGTTTTATAGCCCTGCAGTGCAAAGCAAACTCGCATCAAGTTGTAACCATAACATAAATTGAGATTACAGTCTCGCTGATGGGATGTGCACACAATCAGACACGTTCTTTTAGTAATGCAGCTTCAGTCCACAGACATTCAAAGGAAGAGTTTGTAACGGTTGACCCATGAGAAACGGAACACTCCCGCTCAGTTTGTAGAGATGAGCTCATGCGAGAACTGAGCTGTTGTAATATTTGGCTTATGTTTTCCCAAACCCTTATCCATCAACCCCTTGTACTGGCTGGATCAGTGTTTAATTCTCTGTCCAAAATGAGGATAATCAGTCAGTATTCTGCAGACAAGCAACGGGACAAGATGAGACGAGACAAGAGGAGAAATCTCAGGACTTCATAGTTTAGATATGTAACTGTTCTCATGAAATACTCAGTGATTTAGAATTGACAGCTCTCAAGTGTTTAACTCCAATTACTAAGTCAGCATGAGGAAATGACAACTTGGCTGTCTTTAAACTCCTCACAATCTGATATACAGTGTTTATTTCATGATGAGTGAGCCTGGAAGAGAAACATGAGAAAAACAAGGAATCTTTTGACGGACATTTTTTCCCCCTGTTTGGCTTGAAGACAAGTGGATGTGGACTTTTATGAGAGCTGTGTACTGGTTTTCAGTTTCATGTGGTCTAAAGCGCTGGAACAACAAAAACACTTCATTAGATCTGTCCTATTTATTACTTTACATGAATTATGAGTTTGGCTTTAGATTATCTTCACTCCAATTTGTCTGAGCTGATAGCTGTGATAAAGTGATTGCAATAGGAAAATACTGCCAGATGTTTTGCAGTGGATTCTAGTAAAATGAGTGTTTTAGCACCTTCTTGAAGGAGCTGAGACAGCAGTTTGCATCATAAAGGTGCTGAAAAATGCAAAAGAAAAATGTTAAAGCCAAAAAGATAATATGGACTCTGTAAAGCCAGTAAATAAAACTCAGTCTTGTCCGATGCGTTCAATGAGCAGATTTCTGTTGAAAGAGAAAACAATGGGACAAGCACACAATGCTGATAATGCTCAATTTATTCCCAATCATCACACCGGCTGCCTCTTCATCAATAATCACAACATTAGCTGTGCTTCAATATTCTTTATTCATAATGCAGCGAGTAACCACCATTTGTATTCCATATGGTCTCATTTGTCAACAATCACTCAAGTAAGTGCCTAATAACATGTAAAGATGACAATGATGGAGCGTAACATTGCACAATAGTAAAAGTGGATTTTGTATAAAAAAAAAAAAAAACAACACTTCTTCAAATATAACTTTTATAACAAAATCTGTTTTTTATGATAGTTGGGTTGTTATGTACATATTTGTTCAATAAATAGGTGCATTCAATGTTAAACGAATATTTCCTAATAAATACACAATCTGTTCAGGTCCATCAAAATGAAAAGCACTCTGCTCAGTCCACTCATGAGTTTCCATTGTTTAAACAAAACCAATAGACAATATACAAACACAATGTTCTTATGTCTCCTGTGGATTGAAAGGCACTTTCTTGGCAACACATGGATCCCTCTTCCATCAACCTGAAAATAAATTCCAAAACATAAAAAAGTTGATGAGCATCAGTGGCTTTTGCAGTTTTAATGACTCGTGTTTAGACTTGGAGGGTGACACATCTTGACTTTTTTTTTTTTCAGGAAGTCGTAAAGAAGAGGGTCATCGCTGCCCTGCCCTCACCAAAATTCCCAAATGTTACCTAAGTTCACTCAGAAATGACCAGAATTACTAAACTGTGACTCACTTAAAGCGTCTGAAAGATCGTCAATTGTGGCATAAAGGTGAACTTTCAGAACAGAGCCCGCAGGATCTTATTATACGATTCCTCAGAAAGTGTCCGCCTCCGCCATTATATTATCACCATCTAAACCCAATGACCTGAAATGACCATTCATGCAAATGAATCTGTTCGCAGCAATCACTCATCGTACTGGACTAAATTGCATTCTGCTTGAACACATGCTTTTACCTATGCTAGATTTAAAACTAGACAGGAGAGAAAAAGCTGTTGTCAAAGATCACTTTAACAAAGGGATGACGACACATCCAAAATGACTCCACTGACGACAGTCGGGGTTCTTTTTTTGTCCTGGGAGAGGTAGTCTTTGGTGTATTAAACATGAGCAGGAGAAGCGTGATGGCGTGACACGTGACGTGACATGCTAGTTTTTCATATTCAAATGTAAATATTTCAACACAGAACACTTATGAGTAAGCTTACAGTTAGACATAATAAAGTAGTTTTAGAAGTACTGAGTCATCTATCATTTATATGTACAGGTATATATATATTTGTCCATCCATCTACTATCTTTACCCGCTTGGCCAACCAGTTTGATGGTGATAAGATGGTTTCTGTCCCCCATCGACTCCTCTGAGGCAGCCATGGCCAAAGTGGTTCAAAACATCAATGTTCATGCTCACTTTGACTATGGCTGCCTCAGAGGAGTCGACGGGGGAGATGGCGGACAGAAACCATCTTCTCACCATCAAACTGGTTAGTCCACTATGTGAGTGTGCTACTTATGGGACTAAGTTTGTTGCAGCTCCTTGGACTGATGAAGTCCTTTGGATGAAAGAAGAAATGTTTCAACAAAAAGAAACCGTCCAGAGGACCTGACTTAGCTTTGTTGGATCCACCCAGAAAGATCCCCAGCCAGGATTCGACCCGGCAACCTCTGCAGTGGGAGGCAACAGCTCTACCAACTGAACCACTGTACCTCCCCAGCAATTTTTGAAAGCTTTCTGAAGGTTTTTCCTTAGACTGTGGCTGCTCCCCCCTTCCCCCCTCCGGTCCAATACCTGATCTTTTTCAGAGTTCAGAGGGATGTTTTTATTTTTAAATATTCTTAACTGTGCTCTATGAAATACTCCAGCTTAAAACAACCTCAGAACTGAAAATCTTAACCCGTACTGTGTCCACACATAACAGAAAAATTTATAAATAACCAATTTTAAATCGGATTTCTTTAGTTGAAGCAACAAAAATGCCAGAGATAACACAGTTATATGAAATATATTTCAGTGCCAGTGAGGTGATTCTCCAACAACTATTAGCTGAACATTTGGCATACAACTGACAATTAACTGAGGGATGATGCATCGACATGACAGTTTAGTTTTAAACAAACTGCACAATATGTGGTTATGGTCAGGAAACAGAAGTGAAAAAGCAGCCAAAGTATTAAAAAAGCTCAATTTAAGACATTTAACAAACCTGACAAAATACCGATTAAGACCACTTTAAAAGATTAGAAGAAATGATGTCTCTTTGGAGGCAATATCTAAAGAAACCAGGAGTGTTTTAACTTTTGTGGGAATCTAGTAACACTTCAGCATGTCCAAAATAAAAAGATCATACTCCATCCATCCATTATCTTTACCCGTTTATTCCATTTTGGGTCACGGGGGTCGCTGGTGCCCATGTCCAGCAATCACTGTGCGAGGGGCGGGGTACACCCTGGACGGGTCGCAAGTCCATCACAGGGACACATAGAGACAAACGAGACAAACAACCATTCACTCTCTCACTCACACCTAGGGACAATTTAGAGTTACCAATCAGCCTAACATGCATGTTTTGGGTCTGCGGGAGGAAACCGGAGTACCTGGAGAAAACCCACGCGTGCACGGAGAGAACATGCAAACTCCACCCAGAAGGCCCCTGGACCGGGGTTTGAACCAGGGACCTGTTCGCTGAGAGGCAGCAGCTCTACCAGTTGCGCCACCGTGCTGCCCAAAAGATCATACTGTATTATATAAAATATATTTGTTGGACCGATGTGCAGGGGATACATTTCTGATTACGTGAGTCATTTGACAATAGAGTTCCTTAAAAATCTCAATTTAAATGTTCCTTCTTGTTGAAACTGAGGCACATAATTAAGTTTAATTGTACAATATGTTTTTTTTTAATTAAACCATTTCATGTTTTTGACACAAAAAGTGTTGAAAGGAACCAAACTATTAACAGAGGAAACTCCAAAGCAGAAAAAAAAAAACACCAGTACTCACATACAGACTTCTACGACTGCATGCAGAGCGGGCTCATTGCTAATCGTGTGAGCAATCTCGCACATCTTTTGTAATCTGAAAAAAAAAAAAAAAGCACAATTATGGTAAAAGCACATATCGAGCAAAAACGTAGAAGTACATAGGAAAACATTTAAATCTAAGCACTAGAGTTATTTATAGGCACCTATTGTTTTACAGTTTAATGCACAAGTAATAATAAATAATTAGTGGATACTGGTGTCAAAGTTAAAGGTCCAAATGATGGTGTTATCAATAACCACAGCTGCATTATTTCCATTATTGACTCATTTATCAGGACTGTCAAAACTAACACTTGATCCAACATGTAGACTAATAAAAGCACGACCTATTGAACAACAAGAAAAGTTGAACGCTCTTTAATTAAAAAAGATTTGCGCTCAGAATTTTACAATATCTGAGAGTATAAACGCTGACCCATCACCATGTGAACAGGTTACAGCTTCACATGCACGTCCTGCAAATTTAGGTGAAAGATTTTACATCATAGAGTCTTCTGCAGGGTTGCAGAAAATTTCAAGTTGTTTTTGTTTTAAAAATTAAGAAAAAGAAAAGCATACTACGCCATTTCATCCCTTTTTTCTATATTTCTGGAACTAAATTCAAATTGCATTAATATGTGAAAAATGTATCCTTCTGTAGCTGACCTGCCAGCCAGTTACAAACATTTGCAAAGTGTTGCAAATCAGCTGAAATAATGCAGCTCGCTTGTAGCTTTAAACTAATATTGCGAAGCAACTATTAAACAAATCAAATCTCCAGAGTTGATGACTTTTTTTAAAACCTAACTCTGGATTTTTTATTTTTTTTTCCGATTTTAAACTTTTTAAATTACCAAACATAATTACAAAATAAGTACTAATAAAGTAGTAAAATACACACAAAATAACAAGTGCATTTGTATTAAAATTAAAGCAGAAGTAATCCAGTTATAATTTAATTTACTGCCAGTGAAGCTGATTCTAACACGAGTTTTTCTCAACCAATGTAGAAACAACGACTAAATCAGTGTGACAATAAAAATACTTTGCTCACATGCAACCACTTCAGTTACAACAAAACATAAAAAATATATATAGTCAAGATAAAAAAAAGGCATACGTACATGCTGGTTTTGAGCAGTCCCTTGTGGTGTGGTATAGTCTATGAAAGCGTGTTTTGCACTCTGACGAAAACTTGACATGTCCTGCTTAATAAAAAAATAAGCAACCATTAGATTAAATAATATATATATTTTTTTTTTTACAGATTTCACATATTGCTTTCTACATCTACAGATGAGTAACATAGAAAAAGAAAAACCTGAATATTTGATTTTTTTTAGAAACAAGATTTTGAGGATTTGTTTTACTTTGAAGGATGTTTGTCAATGTAATTGTCTTCTGTTGGTCTCGACCCAGAAAACCCTCAATTTTCATTCAAGCTGTAATGAAAACCTTTTTTTATTCAGTCATGAAGCATCTCTTGATGGAGACTTAAGAGGAAAATATCTGCCTCCAACATGAACTACAGGAGACTTGACTGAATGATTATGAGAATGATGAAAGTCAAACACTATATTCCTAAAAGTAAACAACTTGTTTCAAACCAATTTAATGCTTAACCAATAATAATTATAATAATAACTAGAAAGTTCCTGGAGAAATGTTGATGGGGACTGCCATGCTGCTATCATTTTAAAATTTTGATTTGACAGTACTATGTGTTGGGGTTCGCTCTCAGCCTCCATTATACCACATTTCTGCTGAGTAGCTTTAAAATAGGCTGAGTTATATTTTTTCCCTTTCAGCTAAGGTGTCCATCTTGGATCTTTAATTTGGATTCCGTATGTGATGGAAAACGTTCTCAGCTTTAACCACACCAAATCTCAGCTCTGCATGTGTGAAAACATCTGATCTAAACCCATTTATATGTAGCTTTGTGACCATCTTCAATTTTTAGATTTGAATTCAGTATTTAATGGACATTGATTTTGGCTACCAACACATCAAATTTTAGCCGAATAACTCTAAAATGGCTGACTTATAGTATTTTTCCTTTTTAGCTCAGGCAACCATCTTAAATTTTTGATTTGCGGTCAGAGTCTATTAGGGATTGTTTTCAGCTACCAATACAACAAATTTCAGCTGAATGGCTCTAAAATTGGCAAAGTTATTGCATTTTTTCCCTTTTAGCTAAGGTGGCCATCTTGGATTTTGGATTTGCAGTCAGAGTTTATTAGGCATCATTCTCGGCTACCAATACACCAAATTTCAGCTGAATAGCTCTAAAAATTGCTGAGTTATCATATTTTTCCCTTTTAGTTTTGTTTACAAATTTCATCACCGTAACTCGAAAGTAATAGCACACATCACGGTGCTGAGCCGGTCGTTTTGAAATAAGATCTGTGGGGGTACACATTGCAGTTTGGGCCACATTAAAGTTGACGGAAGAGTAAGATGTAAAGTTAAGAAACCCTTTGTTAGGTGGATAATAATAGGTGCTGCCTCTTACTAGGCAGTCCCCAGTTATAGTGTTTTGCAAAGTTAGTTAACAGACACTGTAAAGTAGCCAGGGTTCAGCTGGACTGGGTGTAAAAGAGAACCAAGTTTTCAGTTCTAATCACGTTTAGGAGTTTTTGCACCAATGATTAAGCTTCCAGATTTTCATACCAATAATGAAGTCTACTCGCAGGTCCTGAGACAAATAATCAGCTTAACTTAGCAAGGCCTTCAGCTTCACTCCGTCAGCTTCAGACCATGTGCTGGTTCTCTAAACTGTTGCCCTGCAGCTAAGCCAGGCGACCCTCTGCTGACCCACAGAGGTTCCCATGTTCACAAAGCTGTCTATGACTTCAGCAAACTATGCTGCCTTGCAGGAATGAAAACGACTCTTGAAGCAAAGCCATGAAACAGCCGCCACAGGTTTCATGGAAAAGCACCAACTATGCTCTGAAAGGCGTTTGCCAGATAACTGTTTTGCGATGCCTGGAAAGGTCAGAGGAGAATCAGGGACTAAAATATTTGCACGTGTGGAGAGATGTTTGTTGACAATGTTCTTACCTCCGAAATGCTGAATGAATTTTTCTTTCAGGTGTGCATCTCTAGCAGCGATATCTGTAAGAGAAGATTTCTATGAGGTTTTCAGAGCTAAAGCTGTCATACAGAAACTTCCTTCTGATATTCTCTTTCTCATCCATTTCTTTTTTCTTTTTTGTTTAACTTTGAAACAGTTTTATTTTTCTTTATCATCACATAAAACATTCAAATCCAAAGAATCGAGGACGAGACTTGCAACTTCAACAGTCTCTGGTTGAACATTGTTAATAAGATAATTGGATAACCACCATTACTATTAGCAGTTTGTGACAATGTTTTTTTTTTATTTGTTGTATCAATTTTGCACAAATGTCACATTCGTAATCATTTTATGACAAAACAGGCATTCTAGAGATGATTTTAAGACCCCTTAATTGTTCTTTTATGATCAGCAGTGAGGACCTGACCCCAACTTTAGAAACCACTGGTTTAAATTGACAATTTAGATCCTTTTTTTTTTTTTTTTTTTCAGGTTTTATGGAACAGTGATGAAAAATTATTATTTTATTTGTTGTAGATAACTCTTTGCACAGTCTCGGTTTTGAGGGGGGAAAAAAATCAGTTTTGGTCAGATTGATGAGCTAATGTCTTCAAATGTCACCTTTCAAAATTTAAATGTATTACATTTCTTAAATTTGTCAGCATTTTGTGAGATGAATTTGAGGTAAGGACATCTTGTAGTGGCTTCCTTCATTCACTGTTTACAAAGAAGACACATGCAGGGGGTCTAACAACATGGCTGATCTACCAATATGCTAAAGAGATTATTATTTGCAAGTATAATGCTGATCAGAATAAGTCCTCGTGAATTGGATTAATAGGACTTCAGCCCCCAGACCTGCAGGCTTAAGGCTGCAACAGAAAATATAAGGATGTAAATCAGCCAGCCATGAGATTGGCTGATGAAACAGAAAAAATGTATCAACTATTTATTATACTTATTATAAACTAAATCATGATGTGTTAAAACACAAACCCTTGTTTTAAGTTAAAATTGTATCTTTCTGTAACTGTGTCATTATATGTGCAGACTCCTGAACTAAAACAAACCAATTTGATAAAGATATAAAGTCACTTTCTAAAACAATGCTCCCCCCTGTATTTATGTCTGTCTCCACCCAGCTGTCACACTGTCAGCCCCAGTTTCTAAAGGAACAACTGAACACAACTGCAGGTTTACAGATATCTTCCCTTTCATCCTCAAAGCTAATATCACTTTGTGATCATGGTGCTCTGGTAGCATCACACGCATCAGTGCTAATGTCTTTGCTTCTAATATCCTCAAAAGATAAATTCCATCCACTCACTGGTCTGAGAAAGGTACATTTCCAATTGCATAAGCTCGAGTCCAGGTTTGAGCTGCAACATCCCTTCTGCATAGACTAATTGACAGTGTCATTACAAAGAATGTGAAACTTTGTTCACTTTTAGCACTTAATGACCTCAGTAAAGCACAATTCTCACACTGAATAGATGCTTTCTGTTGCAACAACAAAAAACATCCACGTTTTGCTTCTGGATTTTTTATTTTTTTTTACAATATGATTTGAGCAAATCTGGTATTGAACGTTAAAAAAACCAAAACATATATGTAGAAAATATTTACTAAAGCACTTTAACATAATAACTGCATTTCCAAAGTACCCCAGGAATCAGATTCGGTACTGATGTTGCGACATGTAAATTTCATTGGGTGAAATTTAAAGGTTCAAATGGTTTTGTTTGAATAAAGTCTAAGATTTGCTGTAGGGATCATGTCAGTCAATGAATCATTGACTGAATGAATCATTCATACTTTTAACAGGCACATGCTCCTCCTATATGATTAATACTCTATTTACTTTATATTTCTTTATTGTTATTTTTGCCAATCACTCACAATTTGTATAGCATAATTTTCAGAATATGTGATGGAGAATGAAGTATAAACACCAGGTATGTGTGACTTAAATTTTGTTCTGCTCAGCTTACCTGCATCATATATAACAACTTTAAGCTGAGGTGCATTTGAAGGCAAAGAGATGTGAACAAACACCTTGTCAAAATCCTTACCTTCAATATTTTTAAGGTTTCTTAAAGCGCACATTTATTTCTAAGTAAAGAAACAAAAGAAAGCAGCCGCACTGAACAGACCAATGACAAATGTCTCCAACTGTAAAATGGGGATTATGCTTTCATCATCAGGTCCTAAAAATAAATCTTATCAGCTTACCCATGAGTCTGCTGTTATCCAGCCTAGGGGCATAGAAAGGCTTTTCCCGAGAGGAGACCTTCATGTCTTGAGCTGAGTGGAATACACCGCCACAGCGCCTGGACACAGGCTTGTCCCGTTGCTGACTGTCCCTGATAACCTGTAAGATTAGATCCAACAGGGTCCTTGTTTCTGGCTTGATCTTTTTGCTGTCCAAACACTGACCAGAGGTGATGAGCAGGAAAAAGATGGTCAACAGTACGTGCCATTTCCTCTCCACATGCATGGCTTCACTGTCTGGGAAAAAGGGTTTAATAAAGTTTAGTTGTGAGGTGGATGTGTCCTTAAAATACTTAACATCAGAGGCATCCTTGTTAGTTTTCCACATTTCCTTTAGAACTTATGAATTCATTTTAAAATCTAACTTATGCACTCCCAAGGAGTGGGAAAGACAGAAATTGCTTTGCGCAGCGCAAATTACGCACGCGTTGATTTTCTTCAGCTAAAACAAGTGCATTGTATTGAAAATTACACTTACCAGTTTAGGATTTAAGGATGCTTATGTCCTGATGCGCTGATACTTTAGTCTTGAGCAAATTCTTCCAGGCGTTGTCTGTTGTCCCGGTAAGATAAGAACTGCCAGCAAATTGCGCTCAACACCGTCTTTTTTGAAATAACGCGATCCTATTTATACAGAGAGCCACCTTCTTGTAGGTAATACAATCGATTTCGAGTGGGTGGTCAAGCAGTGTTGACATCTTCGGTGGTTTTTTTTCTTCTTTCTTTCGTTCTTTAATTATTCTAGGGGCATTCGTTCACTTTGGCATGCGCCACTCCATTACGCACATAACATCACTAGTTTCTGTTTTTCAGGACCAGTCTGCTCGTGGAAAAACACTCCTATTATAGGTAATTAGCGCTTTAAGGTCTCATAGAAAATGGATCTCTGAAAATTCATCTGGAAACAGTGAGCTACGCGACAAAAAGACCAGAGCGCTGCAGCGCGCACCGAGTTCTCCAAAAAGCGCAACTTGTTGGATGTTGGATGCAGAGAATAGAGGAATCTGAGGGCCTGCAAGCTTCTAGTCGAGCTGTCAGCGAGCCGATGTTTTTTTTTTTTGTGTGTGTGCAGATGAACAAGTCTTGTAACCTCCTAAGCGCTGCAGAGAATGCGCCCCCAGAAGAACCGGTCCGACCCGGCAGGTTCTTCCCAAATTGAAGTCTGGAACAGTGACAGAGTTGTACAATTTACAGGACACTTACACAAAGGTTTAATTGAAATCAGAAGACTTCTAGCTAAGGTATTTTAACTATGAGTCCATTTTTTCTTAACTCAGAGTGCTAATATCCTAAATATAATAAATCTATGAAGCGATGCATAAAACTTCCTGCTTCATTTTTTTCTGTAACTGATAGCCAAAGTTAAGTAAAACTTTTTGCAATGTTATTTACTCCTATGTGTACAATGCAAAAATAAAAAATATATTTACCAGAACATTTATTTAAAAACAAATAATATTCTCAAAGACAGCTGATGGAGCCACAAGACGCTCTAACACCTTTGAGTTACCAAATTATTATTATTATTATTATCATGATTATGATTATTATGATTATTATTATTATAACTTCGCCACTAAACCAAAGTAGGGGAAAACATTTTTGGGTTGCCAAATAAGAAATGAAAAAATCTCTCTTTAAAACGATCGTGTTTATACGATAATTGTCAGTTATCTGGCAACACAACATTCCGAGGACTAACATCCGTTGTTGCTGTTACCATGGAGACACGCCAGGCACAAGTTAAACTCCGATAGCTGCGCAGCAGTCAAGTATATTTGTACTTTTTGTTTTTACTTTTCATAGAATACTGATTTTAGCTCTTTGAATGCAGACATGGTGCAAAGGTAACCTTTTTTGTTCTTAAATTATAGCGTTTATAGTTGATTCGCTTTCATATTATTAGCATTGTTGCAAATCGGACTTCAGCTAGCTGAGTATCTCCGAACGTTAACGAAGGTTAAAATGTGTGAAAGGCACTCAGATAACGTTCAGTGTTACAAACCTATGGGGTTAGTTCTCCTTGTGTTTGTGTGGAGTTTTCCTGGGCACTCCGGTTTCCTCCCACACTACAAAAACATGCATGTGTCGGGCCCAGGCCTCCATTGAACATGAGATCTGTGATCTCAGTGGAATATGTCTGGTTAAATAAAGGCTATTATTATTATTATTATTATTATTATTATTATTATTATTATTATTATTATTATTACTATATTCAAATGCTGTTCGCTGATTTTGTTTCCATTTATGGAATAAAGCAGCTGAAACATTGAGAGGCAGTTCTGAATCAACAAACTTGAATGTATTATTTTATGATCAGAGGGATCGTAATGATCTTGATGTTTTAACAGATTTGTTAACATCTTATATATTTTTTTGTTTTGTGAGAACAGCATCACTCCCACCAAACAGATAACAATCTATCCAAACAATAAAAAGTGGATATCCAAGGACATGAACATTTGCCTAAGCTTTCTTAAAAGGAGATATGCAACAGGTGAAGGGATTGTAAAAGGAGTTTAAAGCAAAGGCTAAGATAGCAAAAATAGATTATGAGAAAAAATAGAAAGAAAGCAGCCAAGGGATGCATGACACAGTCTGGATGGGCAGAGTTTCCAAGCCTGCATCAGTAGACGGTCTGGACCCAACCTCCTTTGCAGAACAACTGAACAGATACTTCACCAGATTCAACAACAATTTCACTCCAACCAGCTGGATCCTACAAATGACCAGCACCACTCTCAAAGACATTATTATTGATGAACAGCTCATCTCTTCCATCTTGCATCGTTAACCCACACAAGGCCCTGGTCCTGACAGACTCGGAGGTAAAGTACTGAAGGAGTGTGCCACACAGCTAACTGGGCCCCTTACTAAACTCTTCCAGAAGCTACTGGATTCTGGTTGTGTCCCCAGTCAATGGAGTGAATCCCACATTGTTCCAGTCCCTAAGAAGACACGTGCTAAATACCTAAAGGATTACAGACCAGTTGCATTAACATAAATTTTGAGCAAATGTATGAAGAGAGTGGTGTGTGAGCACCTGGCTGTCGTGGTGGCTGACAAGCTGGATCTATTACAGTTTGCCTCAGTTTAACAAGCCAAGACGTGGTGTGGAGGACGCAAGCCTCACGCTTGATTTTAGGGATTCAGTGCGTTTTTATGGACAGACGACAACAAGCGTTTTAAAATTATTTTAAGTCAAACAAATTGATCTTAAACACTGGATCTTTCCCAAGGCTGCGTTTTATTTCCCATCCTCGTCTCTATTTGCACAAACTTTATTTCATGCAACAGTGAAGGAATGGCTCTTTTGAAATATGCAGATGACATGGCTCTGGTGGTGCACATGACCGGACCTGATGCTCTGTCCCGCTATCAGCAGACGGTCCACGGTCTCCTCATGATGTTCTCATTCAACTCGCTGGAGCTGAACATTTCAAAAACGAAGGAACTGTGCTGTGAGGGTCGAGCTCAAACACCAGAACCTTTGTTGAAACCACTGACCATATGGACAGCAGGTGGAGCAGGTGCTTTTAAGCACAGAGATAGACACAAACATGTCTTTCTCACAGCACACTGAGTCAATTTATAAGAAGGCCCAACAACATCTTTACCAGCTGAGGAAACTAAAGAGCTTTCATGTCAGCAGGAGCACTCTGACCTTGATTTACAAGTTCCTGATTGAGTCCATTTTAACTTTTAACATTTCATCCTGGTTCAACCTCATTAATGTAAAACAGAAAGCTAAATTACACCAAATAATTAAACAATCAAGTGAAATAACTGGCTCACGTCAGTCTCCTCTATCAGACATCTGCAGCCGCTCAGTGACCACGAAACCACCCTCACATCCACTACACAACTGCTTCCAGATGCTTCCATCAAACAGATGTTACCGAGTCCCACTGGTCAGGAGGAAGAATATTTATAAGAAACCATTTGTACCATCTGGAATAATGTTCTTAAACAAAGCTAAGTCACGTCTTAATGGTGGTAACTAATGGTGATAATGTGGTTTTTATTATGTTCTCTTGTTGGTTCTTGTGTGTATGATGAATGTAGAGCGTGTCAATGGAGAATTTCTGCCACAGTTGTGGAAGACAATAAACTTCCATCTTATCTTCTCTTAATTTCCATACTTTGCTGCTTATAGCACTTGTAAGTACAATTATTTGTAAAAAATATAATTTTTAAGTACCCCAAACTACATTATTAAACTTTGTCTTGTTGAAATGTTGTTGTTCCTCTTGTTTTACAGATATAAACCGTGGCACTATATTTCCAGCCTGGTTTCAGTTTATGTGTGTTTACTCTGTTGTAGGAAATACAACAAGCTCTTGGCAGAAGCCATGTTGGAGTTGAGTCGTCTCCTAACTAAAGAACTACCTGCTAAGCCGCCTTCCCCACAGAAAGACCGAGTTGTGTTTGTCCAGCAGGTGGCCACACTTTATGTGCGTTACATCCAGATATTCAGGAAACTGGAGACGATCTATGACCAGATGATCCAGCCTCAGAAGAGACGAGCTGTTCGGGGAATTCTTGACAGTGTCATAGGCAGGGTCCTGGAGCTGAAGAATGAATTGGTAGAAAAGGAGTTTTCAGAGTACCATTATGTGAATGATATCCTTCTGTCGCTGAAACTCACACATGTACGTTTTAGCTATGAATGCATAAGATACTGTACGGCATTTAGATGTTCCTAACTGTGTTTATCTGGGATGATAAGAAAACAGGCCAACTCAAGAAGAGTTTTCTTTACTTGTTATTTATTAGGAAAAACTTGAGATCCCCATCCCTCACTACTTTCTCAGTGAGTGCAGTAAAGTAGTCCAAGAAAGGAAGGGGATGCTGACGGATCTCTTTAAAATGATGGAAGTTACTGAAAGCCTTGGTGTGAGTTAAAATTAATCTACTTGTGTGTTTTAGCCTTGAAATTTGATTCATACAAAACTTTTTACACTCAACTGGTTGACAACAAAACACATTGTCTGCAGGAAACCATCAAGTTCAATGAATAAATTAAGTTTTTGTCCTGTTGTATACTTCTTTTGAATGGTCCCTATAGTCACTGACGACTGAGGAAATGAGTCAAGAGGAGGCCATTAAAATAATCCAAATAGAAGAGAGGGCTCGACAAGGGCGTCTGAGGGCAAAGTTAACTGAAGAAAGCTTAAGGCTCAACAGAAGAAATGCTGAAACACTTGACCAAAACTCAGCCGCCATCTGTATTCAGAAGGTGCATCTCTCAAACATGATTTTATGCAAATTTGTTTTGGCCGGGTCATGATTTGTGTTGTAATCTGGGTACATCTATTTTGCAGGTGTGGAAGGGCTACGTTCAGAGGAAGAAGTCAAAAATTGCACAACGTGAAGAGATGATTTGTCTGGGAATGGTGAGAGAAACGATCCATTAGTTTAGCTTTAAAAAGAACATGCAAAGCTCTGCTGAAATCAGTTTCAGTTTTTTTTTTAAAATCATTTGAGTTATAGGTATTTAGTATGAATTTGTATTGTTTTTTTACCTCAATGGTCTTGTTTTTCAGAGATTTAGAAACAAGCAAAAAAGTGTAACCCATTCATTATGTTGGGGTTATTTTACATTAGGTTATGGATCCAAAATATGATGGGCCTTCCCCTGCACAGATTGAAGCCGAAGCCATTGATGCTCACAACTCAATCAAACAAAAAGAGGTTGAGGAATCATACCAAAAATCTTTAGAAGTTGTTAAAAACCAACTACATGAAAAGGAAGGTTATGACATAAGAAAGACCCTGAAAAGCCAGATTCGGGAATGGTTCTTCGAATGTCGGTGAGATGTCACAATAGCTACAATGATTTTCGATGCAGAAGAGTTCAGGAGCTAGAGAAGTATGTAAACAATAAGTAAAGTTAAGAAATAACCCGTTTTTATATTCCTTTGGGGCATTCTACAGTAATGCTACAGGGGTGTTCCCAGATTACCCAGATGAAGAGGATGGAGGCTCAGCCCTCATCTTTATGGAAAAGAGTCCTTTGCAGGTAGAATACATCCTTAATTAAAAGGATGATCCACTAAATACTTTCTAGCTTGTTCTCACAAATTTTGTTTGGGTTTCTAGTTAATGAAGGAAATGGATGAAGCAAAAAATGGGGCCTCTAACACCAAATCGAATGGGAAAGAAGAAACAAAGGAGAACGAGAAGGCCAAAAAAAAGGGGTCTATAATAGTGAGGGAAGAAGTAAGTATTAAATAAAATAATAAAATATCACTGAATAAATTCTCACTAATTTATTTATATATATATATATATATATATATATATATATATATATATATATATATATATATATATATATATATATATATATATATATATATATATACTGTATATGTGTGTGTGTGTGTATGTGCATATATGTATATATATATATATATATGTATGTATGTTGTATTTTACTGTTTTACCGAGGCAGAAATTTGATTGAGTTAGTGTAACTTTGCTCTGAACCACAGGATGAGGAGGCAGGGTTGAAGATGCTGCCGTCTGCGTTCCTGTCAGAGTTGGAAGCGAGATACAAAAGTTACATGGGTATATTTACACTTGAAAGGGTCACTGGATCTAATGAGTTTGAGTTTATTTCTAGTCTTCCTAATGTTGGACATTTAACTTGCTCTGGTTTCACATTAAAAATAAGATTTTGGCTTATTCACTCTGCTTTTAGAACAGATTCAAAAGTAGCGTATAGGCAACAAAGCATCAAAATGTTTCTTTTGATTTGTATACTCCCTCTCTCTTAGTTGAAGATAATGTAATAAAAAAGTTAGTTAACATAAAGAACCTGAATGTAATCTCTGCAATCCACAGATGTTTGGGGAACCCGAGATGTTTCTGGATGCTTCCATGAGGAATTTGATGTGGAGCTTATGAAGGAAGAATTGAGAAAAGTTGTTGAAGCAGAACTTCGAGTACAGGTGACATGGCTACTTAGTTTCCAGTACTTTTAAAAAAATTACACATGCAAGATGTGATTAAAACTAAGTTTATTTCGTATTGTTTTAATGATTTAAATACATTGCCAGAGAATTGAGGAGATGGGCTTAACAGGCAAAGAGAACAGTATACAGCATGCACATGCGTCCTGTGGGTTTTATCAGTTAAGTGTCTTCATCAATGGTGTGTAAAAACTGGTAACTTTACAACACAATCCGATTTCTTCATTTCCAGGTAGATGAGGAGATGCGACAGGAGCTGGCTGAGCTGAAGCTGTCTGTGGATAAAAACATGCGTGTCAAAACAAAAGCAGATGCCAAGGTATAATCACGAAGGACGGTGGTGACAATTTATATCAGTTTCATTCATTTGATCATTAGTTACTTATATTTATCTCACAGAAGAAGAAGGTGAGTGGGAAGTCTAAAAGTGGGAAGAAGAAGGAAAAAGAAAAAGACCTGACAGCTGATAGGTGAAGTTACAGTGATGATGCACAAAGCATTTCAGCACAATATTGACTTGTATGATGCTCTTCCACTGATCAGTGCAAATATTTTACATCTTCTAGGACCCTTGAGTCTCTGTGTCAGGAGCTGGTAGAACAGGGCTTATTAAAACAGGCAAATAATGTGAAGATGAAGGATTATCTGGGTAAGGCCCTGCATGCTGTTCGTGTAGAAAAGTGATTTTATTCAGAAATCTTTGTTTATAACTCTGTTTGCATTGTTATCATTTGATTAGATGTGATATGTGGGCACAGCTAAGACAAAAAATAAGGCAACATAGATGTGTTCAGTGATGATGTGTCTCTTCTGGCTCAGCTGCTAGTGTTTAGTGAATACTTCTAAAACTAAAATACTCCTGCAGCCCTGTATGGACAAGCAGGTGAAGAAAATGAATGGATTGGTGTTACTTAGTGATTCCCTTCGTCTTCTCAGGTGACTACAATTACCTCGGGAGCACACTTAGGCTCAATGACATCGAACCCATGCCGTCATTATTAGATGTGCGACAAGTCTTATCTTTATATGCAGTCTTGCCATTAGGTATGCAAGTGTTTCTGTTTCAATTTAAACACCATGCATTCACATTAATTTATTTAAAAAAAAATAATGCATGTGTTGTTTAAGATGTAGTAATTTGTGGTTTCAGGCTCTCAAGAGGTGCATGAGAAGGCTCCTTTGATAAAGGCCATACTACTGGTAGGGCCGTCAGGTGTAGGAAAAAAGATGCTGGTCCATGCGATTTGCCAGGATGCAGGGGCCAACCTGTTTGATTTGTCCCCCCTAAACATAGCAGGAAAGTATCCAGGCAAGAATGGGCTTGAGATGATGCTTCACATGGTGTTGAAGGTAAGAAATTGTTATCTAAAGCCTCTTTTTGATCACAATTACTGATGTATTTTATCCTGGAGGTTCAATGAGAAGTAAAGACATCTGTCTATCCTGCATGCTTGACTAATGTGATCGCATGTGCCTCTTCTGTTTCTGTTATATTGTCATAGACTTAAAATGTATTAACTTGCTTTGTGTAGCGACTTATGCAGCTTTTTTCTCACAGGTTGCAAGACTTCTGCAGCCATCAGTAATATGGATTAATAATGCAGAGAAAATATTCTACAAAAAGATTCCCATTGAAGACAAAGAGGTACCTTGGAACAAAATAAAAACAAACCTGCCATTCTGTTCAGATTTTTTTTTCCTCAACATTATTCTGTTCTTAATGAACAGCTGGACCTTAAGCAGCTGAAAAAAGAGCTGCCCGAGTTGCTGAAACTGATCAAAGGAGAAGATCGTGTCCTTGTAATAGGAACAACTGAGAACCCACAGAGTGCTGATACTGACTCTTTGTGTAAAATGTACACCAAAATCATCCTCATCCCAAGACCTGACTACGGCTCAAGATACAGTAAAAACGCTGACACACACTAGTTATCCTCTTTAACCATGATAATGTTTGTGATGCTATGAATGGATCTTTCACTCTTTCAGTTTTGTGGAAGAAACTGATCAAACAAAGAGGAGGTGCTGACACGTCTCCTTTGTTCAGCGTTCTTGCAAAGGTTTCCGATGGCTACACTTCAGGTCGCATCGTCCAGACTATCAATCGTGTGGTTACCAAACGGCGTATCCAGCAGCAGGCCAGAAAACCACTGAGCGCTTCAGAGTTTATACCCATACTGGCCCAAATGGACCCCGTGTTTAAGGAGGAGGAGGAGGCACTAAAAGTATGTTTAATACACAGTATTTTAAAAAACACACTAATAACATTTTGAGACAAGTATTTTTGGTACATTTTCAATCTGTCAGTTCTTGATTGTAGTCTAAACTGGGCTTTAATAGTTTTGCAACCACTGCCAAAATAATTCTGTTCCTGGAAAGTTTCATGGCAAACCACTGGATGTCAACAAACAATTTATTTTATAAATTGTTGTTAGTCTTAAATATATTTTCAACTTAAAATGTAATTATTTAGTTAGTTTGCTTTTTTTTTTTTAATTATAGAGTATGTTTGACACATTTTGCTTCTTGTCTTCAGAACTGGTATGCCATGACACCTCTGGGACAGAAGAGAATCAAAGCTGCCACCGGAAAGGGAACAAAAGCACCGCCACCTAAAGGCAAAGTTGCAAAGAAGAAGAAGAAAAAATAAAAAGGGTGTTTTAAATTGTTTACAGTTGAGTTAAAAAAATATTTGAATGTTCAGTTTTTAGTATATTCAAGTCAGGCTGACACTGTTCACATGTGGAAAACATCCATCCATCCATCCATCCATCATCTTTATCTGCTTCTTCCTTTTTGGGTCACGGGGGTCACTGGTGTCCAGCCATCACTGTGCAAGAGGCGGGGGACACCCTGGACAGGTCTCCAGTCCATCACAGGGACACATAGAGACAAGCAATCATTCACTCACTCATTCACACCTAGAGACAATTTAAAGTTGCCAATCAGCCTAACATGCATGTTTTTGGTCTGTGGGAGGAAACTGGAGTACCTGGAAAAAACCCACACATGCACAGAGAGAACACACAAACTCCACCCAGAAAGGCCCCCCCGGCCAGAAGTCTATGTGAAAAAGATAAATAAATAAAATAAAGACCCAAAGAAAGTAATGTATTTTTATTCAAGGATTTTTCCCTTTTATAATTTTTTCATGTACTCTCCAGAATATATGGCAATCCTTGTTATGTGGATGCAAATATTATTATTGTTGTTAATGATTGTTTAAATACATTTTTATCTTACAAATTATATCCATTCTCTTGCTTAATTTCTGGTTTTAATTCAATTAATTTCAGTTCAGTTTATTTACATAGTGCCAAATCACAACAGAGGTTGTCTCAGGAACTGACCAGAAACAACAATAAGTTAACAGAAACATTCATAAAAATAATAATTTAACATTTATCTGAGGAGCAGACTGCTTTGAATTTAACTCCATCACAGACTCTCATCTTGAGCAAGCAAGCAGGCGACAGTGGAAAGGAAAAACTCTCATGAGGAAGAAACCTTTATCAGAACCAGGCTCAGGACAAGCGGCCATCTGCTTCGACCGGCTGGGTTTGAGAGGAACAGGAAGGAGGAACAGATACACAATGGCAGGTTGAGGTTCACATGTTAAAAGAAATAGTATAAAATGAAAACCATACAATTTTAGCAAATCATTTAAGGAAATGAGGTCAGTTTGTCTTTCAGTAGTCTAAGCCTATGGCAACCAAGCCAACCATAATTATAGGATTTATCAAAAAGGAAAGTTTAACACTTGACATTCTCCAGAACATCTTATTTTTATACTTTATTTATTTTCTCTATCCCTTCTTGATGGGGATGATGGGTCACTAGTTCCACTGTGTGTTTTTACTTTTTTCTGTCACCTCTAAGTGTAAAAAATATATTGGTGTGGCAGCTAAAGGCTGTGCAATAATCTTTTCTAAAATCAAACAAGGGCTTATCTGGGATTTGAACCCAGGACCTCTTGTACTTTAAGCAAGAATCAACAACGAACAAGCCAATAACTTTTTCAGACTTAAGTATAATTCCATTAAGAAAACTGTGGATGTAGCATGATGAGTCATCTGGTACAACACCACTCTCTAGTGGTCGTCATGTATCACAGCAGGCTCGTTGGTCTAGGGGTATGATTCTCGCTTCGGGTGCGAGAGGTCCCGGGTTCAAATCCCGGACGAGCCCGCCCTACATGAACAACACGAGCAGAGTGATTGCGAGAGGAATTCTCATGGTGTTGTATTGAAGTACTGATGCAATCTCTTTATAAAAATATAGGTTTCATGTCACTTTTCTCTCTCCTGCTTTTCTTTGTGCTTTTTTAAAAGCTGTTTGGCAATTACATTAAAGACATTAAAGTCCACCTATGAATCATTATTTTTTTTCCATTTAAAGTATGACCAGACAAAAAGTGTCTTTGGACCCAAGTACAGTATTTCTTTGTGCACAATGACACAAATATTAACAATGTCCTTTCCCCAAAGTAAAACCAAAACAAACAAACAAACAAAAAATAGCATATTCCATGCATATAATCTGGATTACTGTCATTTTTTAAAAATTATTAGGATGTTTAAAAATATCCCCTAAAAAGCCTCCAGCTGATCCAAATGTTGCTGCCAGAGTTCTGATGATCAGAGTTGGAAGGAGCCATCATGTTTCTTCTATGAGAGCAGTTTTAACATTTTCTTTTCTTATTCTTTGATTTTTACATATATTTATTTTCAGTCATAACTGGGTTCCTCTGTACAAAACCTGGATGAGAATAATTGTGTGACACAAGAAGGTGTGAGGTTTCCAAACATGGATCCCAAGGATTAAGAGTGTTCATCTGTTTCATCAAGTTCTAAATTCACCCCACACATTGTCACATTGCCCTGGTTTCATCATGATCTTTCTGTTTTTAGTCAATATGCTAAAGAAAGAAACAGATCATTGTATTATTATTATTACCTTAATTTCTGGACTATTGAGCGCACCCGAATATGAGCCGCACCCACTAAAATAATAAAATGATAATAATTCTGTACATACTGTATATATCACTTCACCACTTACTCTTGGCAAGGTCGGACACTGAGACTCTCTTGCATTTCTTCCGAACCATAATTATGAACGTGTTTTGATCAGTTGGTCCCTCAACACAATTTACAACATTTCTTCGAAGAGAAGACAGGCTTTAGGTGAGCCGGTTTGCACTGCTGGCACGCACGAAGCTGGATATCTTATCGACTGGAAGACTTGATGATGTGTCTATCTCTGCTGCCATTTGTGGATTTTAAGGATGCATTTATAATTGGATTTACAATAACTGGTTCCTGCTTTTTGGATTCGGCTGGTTCTTGGTCTATCAACAATCAAGGAAGTCGTCGGCAGCAAATTTGGACCCGATCACGCTGCTTGCAACCAGACTCAAATGCTTTTGGCAGAATGGATCAGATTTTGGAGATTATTTTCAGGCACGCCCCATTGGTGTGGTCATGTAATTTGGACATTTTAGAACCGTTTGGACCAACACAGACTCAAGGTAGATTTCAATAAAGTTCTGCCTGTCCTCAAAACAACTGTGTGTTTATCTGAATTTGGCTCCCTTGACTGGCCTTGCAGGCCACCTTATCTGAATTCATCTGGAGGACATGTAATCTGACGCTCTGCCCCCCTCCCATCGAGGAATTCCTACCTATCAACCTGAGGAAACCAGCTGAATATACATTGTGTCATCATTTCAGGACTTTTGGATTCCCATAGGCGCTGTCCTTGACCATTCCCCGACATCACTCGAGAATGTTTATGGATCTCACCGGAGGGAACTGGTTGATTATTCCATCCTTATCAGAACTCTTACAGTGCCCTCGAGAGCGTCCTTGGACATGCTCACCGCTCTCTTCGTCTCCCCCATTCTGCGGAATGTCTATGTCACCATGTGCTTGTATGTGCGAGATGTTTTTTTAATATTAGTCTTTCTTCTCAGCCAAGAAGAAAGAGTTTGATAGGATTTTTTTTGTTTGTTTTTGCCTCCAATTCTTACATGTATCTAGTTTCACTACTTTTTTGTCTGTCTAAACAGATCTCACCTGTAAATGAGTCTTCGAGGCTCACTGTGATTTATCTGTCTAAATAAAGGTTGAATTGATTTGAAATGAACAGGCCACGCTTCTCTATAAGCCGAGGGTGTCCACGTTGCAACATGAGAAATTTACAAGGAAAGATTGTTCAAACTTACAATTAAATACGTACCAGTTACGTACACAAATCGGTAAATATTTTTTTCTGAACAAAGCCTGTAACACAACTGGTTGAAAAAGAAAATTCAGTAGCCTACTAGTAAGACATTGAACTCTATATTCACCTTTCTACTGCACAAGAAGGAAGTTGTTCTTTTTTTTTTTTTTACATTTATTTATACAGGTAGTTTCACTGAGTCATGAGGACCCACCCACAAGAGAGACATTTATTGGGCAGCTATGTGAGTACCTGGATATCCATCCATCCATCCATTTTCTTTACCCGCTTATTCCATTTTTGGGTCACGGAGGTCGCTGGTGCCCATGTCCAGCAATCACTGTGCGAGGGGCGGGGTACACCCTGGACGGGTCGCAAGTCCATCACAGGGCCACATAGAGACAAACAACCATTCACTCTCTCACTCACACCTAGGGACAATTTAGAGTTACCAATCAGCCTAACATGCATGTTTTTGGTCTGTGGGAGGAAACCGGAGTACCCGGAGAAAACCCACGCATGCACGGAGAGAACATGCAAACTCCACCCAGAAGGCCCCTGGACCGGGGTTTGAACCAGGGACCTGTTCGCTGAGAGGCAGCAGCTCTACCAGTTGCGCCACCGTGCTGCCCCAGTACCTGGATATGACAAGGCTAAATGCTTTGGCAGCAGGAAGCCCGTTAGCCCGTCCAAAAAAAATCCCATAAATTAGCCACAGCATTGTATAAGTTGCAGAGTTCAAAGCCTGTGAAAAAGTAACAGTTTATAGTATGGAAATTATGGTAATTATTACTTTTTGTTTTAAAAACTAGTATGTAAAACACAGGTTTATCAGATGTTTTTGTAACAAAACAATACATTTTAATCTCAGTTTTCTTAACAGGCCAAAACACTGAAGCCTATAAATACAGGGGCTGAGATGTGTGAGAGCATCCTGCTTTGCTTTGGCGTGCCACTATTCTCCTCTCAGTGACGACAAGTTGTTTCTGTGCCCCGCAGCAGGACTCCACAGAGATTAGGCTGTCGGTAGAGTTTCACTGGGCTTAAAAGAGCTTCGCAGCACATGGAGCTGTCCATCAAATAGAGAAGAAACAAACCATCATGGAAAAACTGCAGACATTAGAGAAAAGTGAGCTGGTATTACCAGTTTTACATTGATTGTTTTTTCTCTTCAGCTGTTGAGAGCATGTGTTTCGTGCAAACATGGGCAACTATTGCTCATATCCTCATAATATATTGTGCCATGATGTAATCAGGGACTGTGAGGAAAAATAGGCCCATTTTGTAATGCTTTCTCACCCATGTTCACAAATGATGGTCCGGTGAAATGGGCGATTAAGATCGTCTAACCTTTGGTGTCCTTTTGGCTGTGGCAGTGATGGAAACTCCCTGTGGAAATCTGAAGACCTGTGATGCCTCTAACCTGAAGTTAAGGCATCTATTAGGACGTAATGTATACTGCATCTGCATGCTACACCTAATCTCTGTCTGAGGAAGTCCACTTTATGTCAGCCACCCCTTCAAACTCTGAAAACTACAAAAACACCAGCAACCCTGATGGTTTATGTTTGGATTGGTTCTGATGGTTTCATTGTTACTGATCACAAGTTGCCTCCCTCTGTTAAAGCCAAAACTATCTTTGTCTTCACACCGACAGGACGCTATTTTGGAGGTTAGTATGTGGGGAGATATGTCAGCTGTTCAGCACCGTGCTCAGTCACAGCGAGAAAAAACAAAAGGGAAAGTGGGAGAACTACAAGCTGTCAACTTCAAGACTAGGATGCAAAATTACTCTTCAATGGATAAACATTTGTCATTAATCTAAAAGATATATATTTCACTGACGGACCTGTTGCTATGGTGGATTAATTTATTTATTTTTAGATTAAGTATTTTTTCGCAATTGTTGCAACAGGAGGGGATGCCAGGATATATATACGCCACAAATCATCGGTCTGATTTTTAGGCAGGTGAGTCACTTTAAGTGATTTAATATATTTTAACTTCTTATTTTCTGTACTTTTCAACAGCACAAGTGAAAATATTGTTAAGCATAACGCCGGCAGTACAAATTCAAAAGATCTGAATTATATATATTGCGCATAGTTAATGAGTTCTGAATTACTGAAAGACCAAAGCAACTTTTCGTGGATTAGATTAAAAAAATTTATTCACATGTATCTTATTTAGTGACAAAATATCAATACTTACCACAAACACATTAAACTAAATCAGTGGTTTTTCAAGCTGGGGTCAGGGTCATAAAACACCAAGATAATCTTCAGAAATCAAATTAAATATTGAAATGATTGCTAATGTTTTATTTCCACCATAATTGACATGATGAATAAAAATATGTCATAAATGAATGAATAAGACTGTTTGTTCATTTAGTCAGGGTACTATGTATTTATGATGAAACTGATGATGGGTCAGCAAGCTTCTGTTACCAACATTTTGTGGGTCAGAAGGTGAAACATTTGGGAACCACTACCGGTAGACAGTTCTTTGCAATAACAATGTAATTGTGTGGCCCGTAACACAATGCATTTGAGCTTTAGGAAACAAGGTAGATAAGCTTTGCCCTTGAAAGTAAGACAACTGTAAGTCTTTAAGATCAACACATCCAGTCCAGCAGTTCTCATTTGTGTTTGTTCTCCAGAGTTTCGCCTGTTTCGGAGTTTGCCGCAGTCGGGCTGATGGAGATGGCATCACAGCTGAGTCTATATTAGTGGTGCTGAGCTCAGCTGAGTGAGGTGACAGAGATTATTGTGTTCTTCACTGCAGAGGAGGGCTGGCATCCTGTCAAAGGAATCAGCCCTACGAGTGAATGTGTGTCCGTCCTGACAGGCTGGTCTCGGTCTCTCTGCTAGTTTACAGAAACATTAGTAGCCAGAGGATGTGCAGGGCACTGTATGTGCATGACTTGTGATTGTAAACTGGATGAATTCTTGTTTAAAATGTGTGTCTCTTAAACTTATTCATTTAAATGTATTTCATTTTAACGACTGATGGATCTCGTTCTACTTAAAATTATATTCCTTTTTTGCTGCAGCCCGTCATTTGTGATAGAAAAGAAAGATTCACCGTCGACCCTCAGTGAAACAAAGACATGGGGGACAATAAGGCAGGAGGAGTTGTAGCAGCTGCAAGTAAGTTAACGGTCAAGACAGAGTTATGCGTTTTTTGCAATGGGCGAGAATCTCTCAAAACTCCTAATGTTGTGTTTGTTGCCAGTGAACCGTTTGCAGGTGGTGAAGGGTTTGGAGGATGTGGAGGTGTCCGAGTGCGAGAGCTGCTCCTTCGAGGTCACGCTCAACCAGGCTTACATAGAAGGCACCTGGACGAGGGATGGAACACGGGTTAAATCTAGACCGAGTTGCCGCATCAGCATGCACGGGAAGAAACACGCCCTCATACTCACACGGGTGGCTTTGGGAGATGGAGGCTTGTACACCTTCCAGGCTAACGGCATCCAGACATCAGGTCGACTCAGTGTCAGAGGTGATCCAGAAAAATTAACTGTTTTCACGGTGATTTAACGTGATCATAATTCTGGCTGTGGAAAATTTGGTCAAATCCAGATTCAAAATAAGCCACAACCAGCGTCTGCATGGTGAAAAGAGACGACAGGATCATTTTAAAAATGAAATGAAAATGTCTGTTTCAAAACCTTAAGTGTTAATATAGAGCAACGTGTTGCATAAGACGTGCAACATTCAAAATCTGAACTAAAACCTGAACAGAAAATTTGAATAAAGCACACTTTGGTTGCTTTCAGTGAGATGAAATAGTTTGGATATTTTCTGACAGCTAGGGACATCCACATTGTAAAAGAGCTGGAGGACGTCGATACAACCGAACGTCAGCCTGTCAGCTTCATCTGTGAGGTCAACCAGGTGGATGCAGACGGTCGTTGGTACCGGGACGACAGCCGAATCCGACCGGGGGACAACATTAAGATCAGGCATCAGGGTGAGATCAACAGAAATAAGATTTTTATCGAATATGTTGCTTTTAAAACTGGTGTAAAGAAAGTAAAAAAAAAAAAAAAAAATGCCTTAAAGTATTTCACCACATTTGATTTCAGGTAAAACTCACAGCTTGCTCTTCAAGTCAGTTCGTCCAGAGCACGCAGGCGAAATCAGGTTCACTGCAGAGCGCGTCTCGTCTTATGCCTTTCTCTCAGTCCAAGGTGAGTCACCACATTCAATCACAGATGACACATTATTTAACAAAATCAAAGTAATTGAATATTTTACCTAAATATTAGGGGTGTAAATCACCAGCTTTACCACGATACGATATTATATTGATTTGTTTGTATGATGATACGATTTTTCTCGATATCACAAAGTCTGTCACGATACAATTTCAATTCTATTCGCGTCACAAGTCTGCAATCGATATATTGTGATATTAAATGCCCTTCTCATTTACATATAAATACATTTACAAAAACAATTCAAATATGATTTAACCATTATATTTCTGTTATTACAGGCACCAGGAATTTAAATAAAAAAAACTTTTTTTTCTTAATTAATGAAAAAAGAAAAATAAATGACCTGTTCAGTATAGTCTCATATTTTTCATGTTTAAGTGCATTTTTTAAACCAGTTAACTTAAAAGTGCCCTGATTTACCTTTCAGTTATAAAAAAACAAAAATAGATATTGAGCTTACATAACATGACTATCAACGCTGTGTTTCTTCTTCAGGTGAACGGCCAAAGTTGTCGTGTTTCCCGAGTATTTGAACTCACACTGACACCTGTTGCATATGGCATGAGTTTTGTCTGTTGAGCCGTCCTTCTGTCAGAATCCAAAATATTTCCACAGTGCTGATTTACATCCAGCAGGAGAGTAAATTTCATTATCTGTGTTTTCTGCCTCGTCTGCCATGTTGCTGAGGCGGCCGCAGAGCGCAGCCACGCACGGAAATGGTGACACAGACGTGCCTTGGGAATTTCAAAATAAAAGCGTATTTTAAAGATGACGATATGAATCGATGTTTTAGTTTTGCCACAATATAATTGAAACATTAAGCATTGAATCAGTATATCGATTTAAATCGATGTATTGTTACACCCTTATTTATTTAGTCTCATAACAACTTACATCTGTTCTGTCCTTTAGAGCTCCCGGTCCAAATAGTTCGTCCTCTCAGGGTCAAGATTGCCATGTACCGCCACAGAGGTCTGCTGGAGTGTCAGGTGTCCAGGCCTAATGCTCATGTCAGATGGTACAAGAACAGAAAGGAGCTCCTTCCTGGTAAAAAGTATCAGCTGATCAGCCAAGACGTCTACAGACAGCTGACAATCGAAGACGTCTGTTCCTCAGATGAAGACACCTACACATGTGATGCAGTGGATGACAAAACGTCGTGTCAGCTTCTGGTGGAGGGTGGGGTACTTCTGTCAGTGCAATGTGTTGCATTTACCTGCTGTGGAGTGTTTTACATTCTTTTGCCTAACTGTGTGAGCAGTAATACTTTTGAGCTTCTCAATAAGAAACTTGAAAAGACGAGTGTGTTTGTGTGGAGCTATCATTTTAACATGTATTATTGTTGTACATGCAGAGCAGGCTATCTGCATAGTGCGGGGGATGAAATCAGCAAGAGTGATGGAGCCAGAACCTGCCCTGTTCCAGGTAGAAACCAACCTAAAGTCGGGGAGGCCCCCCAAGTGGACCCTGAATGGGGAGATTTTGGAGCACTGTGCAGGAGTGAGCATTGACAGGGAGGGAAACGTCCACAGTCTTTGTTTCACGACCACAGACAGCTCCATGTCAGGGCCTGTGGTCTTCGTGGCCGGAAAGAGTCGTTGCACTGCTCAGCTTACTGTCAAAGGTGAGATTTCCAGGCTTCCTTTGATTTAACATTTAAACTCCACCCAAATTACTGATCAACTTGGACATCAAATCAAATGTGTTTTAAGCTGCACCTGAGTACAGCCTTTATGATCTTTTAATAGAATGAGAAATGTAACGAGAGATAAGAAAGCATTGATTCTTTTAATGACCTTAAACCAACTCTAAGATCTTCAAATCAATTTTTAAAATGATCTACAAACTTGTGCAACAAGACCAAACGGATAAAATGTGAATTTGCTGTATGCCTTTAAGGAAATGAGCTGGAGTATTTTGGACAAATTGCACAAACTTAATGATCCAAAACATTAATTGAGCCCAGATGATATAAAATCAAGAGTTCTTCCTCAAAGGAACAAAACAAAGTCAAGTTTATACTAGCAATGATCCTCAGATGGGTAAAATAATCTTTGGCAACTATATTTACTTGTTTCATAAATGTAACAGTAAAGCACATATGTTAAGGTTTTGAAAATAATGTTTAAAAATGTTCAAAGGTCCAAATGGGAAACTCCAAAGGGAAATAAAGTCCAAATAATACCACTCCTATTTTTACTTGTTTGGGCTGAGAAAGTGGTGAGTAATACAGTGATGGTCATTTTCTAGTAATGATTCCAACTAAACCTTTGGTGTACACCATCCTGTCTTGATGCACATTGAATTTTTAAGCTAATGAACATGGTCTGTTATTTTTAGTTTTGCATGATATTAATTGAATTGTCTCATATGAATGTAATGCATCCTATTTTTGTACAACAAAAACCCAGAAATTATGCATGGCATAAAGCAATTCAATGTTGATGTATTTTTCCCTTATCAGAGCGACCTCTTGAGGTTGTTCACCACCTGGATGATGTGGAAGCAAAGGAGAACAGCTCTGTGACTCTGAGCTGTGAGTTTGCCCCCTCTCCCAGGGTGGTCCGGTGGTTTAAAGGTCGCACAGCTCTGAAGACCTCCAACAAGTATTCCATGAAGAGAGAAGGGAAACGAGCAGAACTGACCATTCATGGCCTGATAGGAATGGATGGAGGGCAGTATCACTGCATGGCTGGAGGGACACAAAGCACATCACAGGTGAAGGTAGAAGGTACGTTTCAAGACTTGGATTTCAACATTCTGGATCTTTTGGTTTATTTGTGTGATCATTTTTATGCTTGTGTTGCAGTGAGAATACTGCAGTTGGTCAAACACCTCGAGCCAGTGGAAATCGAGGAAGATGGCATTGCCACTTTTTCATGTGAGCTCAACTATGTTGTTGCCAATGCGGAATGGCTCCTTAACAATATCCGACTCAATTCCAACTCCATCAGCCGGATCCAACACATGGGCACAATGCACAGACTTATAATGAATAAGCTTAGACCACAGGAGAGCAGGATTACATTCAAAGCAGGTCTCCTGACAGAGACAACTGCCCTGAAAGTCAAAGGTATGTAACTGAATGGGTTCTATTTTTAACTTACGTTCCAATTTATGCATATTAATTTCTGAAATGCACCAAACTCACATGGAATTATGTCGTGTCAGAGCGCCCAGCAGTGTTCCTCAGATCTTTGGAGGACGTAGTTGGAGAAGAGCAAGGTAAAGTTTGCCTCCAGTGTGAAATTTCCAAGGATTCAGTGACACCTGTTTGGAGAAAGAACGGTATGGTCCTCACACCGGATGATAAGCATGAGCTTGTGCAGTTTGGGAAGTCCATGGCACTGATCATCCACTCACTGAGTAAAGACGATGCCGGACAATACACCTGTGACCTGGGCACCAGTCAGTCCAAGGCTAAAGTTACAGTACATGGTGAGTAGCTGGAAAAATCAAACACATCTGGGTCTTCTCAGCTCTAAATCTAGATGTTTAAAGGCTTTATTCTTCAATGACTGTATAGCTCAAAGACAAAATCATTGTCACTTTGCTATTAACATTACAGACCTTCACATTACCATTGTCCAGCGTATGAAGACAACCTCTGTTCATGAGGGTGAAAGCTGCACATTTGAGTGCCATCTCTCCCATGATGTTGACGATGAGCCTACTTGGACAATCAGTGGCCAAGCGGTGGTTACCAGTGACCACATTCAGCTTTTCAGCAATGGCTGCAAGTACAAGATGACCATTAGAGATGCTGTACTTACTGACGCTGGAGACGTGGTCTTCACTATTAAAGATTTAAGTTGTAGGACCATGCTGTTTGTCAAAGGTGAGTAGCTGGAGTAGTTATGTCTCACTAGTTGGTTTGAAAGAAACACTTTAATCTAGTTATTTAAACTGGAAAATGTGTTTCCTGCTCTAGAGAAGCCAGTGCACATCTTCAGGGACGTGCTGAATGTCAAGGCTGTACCTGGAGAGGATGCTGAGCTGAGCTGTGAAATCACCAAACCGGAAGCCACCATCCGTTGGCTAAAAAATGGCCATCTCATCAGGCCGAGCCCCAAATATATCATGAGGGTGGAGAAAAATCTGGCACGAATGGTGATCAAGAATGCCACCATCAAAGACTCTGGAGAATACTGCTGTGAGGCCGAAGGTGTTGCCTCTTGCGCCAAGCTGGAGATCAGAGGTAGTTGTTGTTATATTTTTGATTTATCCTTGTTTTTAAGGGCAAAGTAAAAATCTTAATTGAGAATGTGGAAAAGAAACATAGGTGAGCAGTTCACAAATTGGAAAGCAATGAAAATAACTCCATTCTAAAAAATAAAAGAGTTATGCAAACATCTGGATGAATAGGTTTTAATCCTTAAGACACGATAAGATTAGTTTGACTGTATTTATCACCATACATATTTTAAATTGTAAGCTCTGCCTCAGACTGCCAAACGTTGCTTTTCTATTCAGAACTCCAGCACACATTTGTGAGGGAGCTGAGAGACACTCGAGCAGAGGAGAAGGGTAAGGTGACCCTGGAGTGTGAGACCAGGCGGCCAGCCAAGCGTGTGGCCTGGCTGAGGGGCATGATGGAGCTCAGGTCTGGGAAGAAGTATGTCATCAAGCAGAAGGGAGCGATTCTGTCGCTAACCATCACCTATTTAGACAAATCTGACTCTGATCTTTATACATGTGATGTTGGTACCATGCAGAGCCGGGCACACCTGACTGTGCAGGGTAAGTGTGGTGCATGTGTGCCTCATCAGGGACAATTTTTTTGTAGGTCTAAGCTGCAAAACTTTTCTTGATACCTTTTCTACAACAGTGCAAAATAAAGAATTTTGTTTTATCGTGTATTTTTGTTGTTGTTGTATAAATACTGAAGAGTTTAAGGTTCAGAGCAACTCCTGTATTTTGTGTTTTTAGTCTTTGAACATGTCCATGTTTCAGGTCAGCAAGTGTTGATCTTGGATGAATTAGAGGATGCAGAGTGTCTTGAGGGTGAAACAGTCACGTTCAGATGTCAAATTTGTCCCAGTGACTATACGGGGGTCAAGTGGTATCTGGACGAGACTCTGCTTTATACCAATGAGCTCAATGAGATCCAGGTGGTTTCAGGAGGCAACCACACCCTCACGTTCAGGCAGCTTGCTCGTAAAGACACCGGCACCATTTCATTTGTAGCAGGAGACAAAAGATCCTACGCCTCCCTGTTGGTTAGAGGTATGGTTTGGAGCTTCCTGCAAGTTTCTTCCATCACTCTTCAGAGTTGACTCAGATTCATGGTTGTGTGTCACCAGAAAGGCGTCCCACTATTATCAAAGCACTGGAAGACTGTGAAGCCATTGAAGGAGGAGGCTTGGTTTTGTCCTGTGTCACTTCTAAGCCATGTCACATTGTTTGGTACAAAGATGGCTGCATGATGTGGCACTCCTCCAGATACTTCACCAGTCGTTCTGACTGCGAAGCTCGGCTGACTATTCGGGAGGTCAGCGGCAGTGATGCTGGGGTGTACGAGTGCAGTGCTGGATCAGTAACAACAAGCGCTGTTGTCACTGTCAAAGGTACAAACAAAAGCTGCCTCCTCTGTAAGATGCTCTGATAGCTAACCATGGACTAAAACTTTGTGACAGATTTTACGTTATATATTGTAAGTTCTCCCGTGTCCTTTTTTTAGCCGTTCCAGCAGAGTTCATTCAGCTTCTAAAGGCTGTAGAGGCTAAAGAGGGAGAAACTGTTACATTAACCTGTGAATACTCTCTGCCGGGGATCCAGTTCCACTGGAGGAAAGGTTTGGAGAGCATCAGGCCAGGAGACAAGTATGTGTTGAAACAAAGAAAAACAATCATCTTACTTACCATAAAAGCCCTTTCACCCGATGACTCAGGAGTGTACACATGCCAGTGTAGACAACACCACACATCAGCAAGCCTCAAAGTACACGGTAAGCTGTTTTATTTACACACATTTTATTATATTTTACTATTTAAAAACAACAACAACAACAACATGTGCTGATTTTTTAATTGTGTGTGCACATTCAAAATACCAGTACGTTCACTCTACCTCAAAAATGACAGCGAAACACACGAAAAAAAAACATTAAAGTAAACAATTATTCAAAATCACAACAAAACAAATCAAAGCATTTCAGACAGCGCAGCATAGGATAAAGAGCAATATTTTACAAATTATATCAACAAAATTAAGAAAACTCCAAGTTGTTAATGATCAATCTATAATTTCAATGGCCACCACAACTAGTCACTTTTGCCTCTGTATCTCTGTCATTGTACGACTCACTCAATTGTGCAAACGATGAGCTACATTTTGGAGAGATAGTAGCTGAGAGTAATCCCCAACACATAATCGAAGCACTGACAGATTGTCTGAAATCTTTAATTAACACTTTGACATTAACTGATGCACGGAGTCAAAGCTGTCAAGTCTGTCACATTTGTGAAAAAGAAGTGGATTTTAAAGTTATAATAGCAGACTAAATACTTTTAAAGCAATATATATTTACTTTTGATCGCTAGTCTTCAATCATTGTGTTTTCTGAAATCTTATTTTTTCAGCTTTAATTCTTGTGATGTTTATTTTCTTTTGGTTGATGTTAACTGTTGTAACATCTGTTGTGCATTTCCACTTGACTCCGATTTGAGCTCATTTTAAAGAGTCTACACGTTTTTTTCTAGCCATTCCCATCACATTTGTCCAGCAGCTGAAGAACGTGCAGGCTGAGGAGGGCAGCAGTGTCATTCTGCGCTGTGAAATTTCTAAACCTGGAATTCCAGTAGAATGGAGGAAAGGACATGAGCAGCTGAAGAACGGGGTCAAGCACCAGATGAGGAAAAGGGAAACCACCTTGGAGCTGTTTATTTGGAAGCCTGTGCCTGAGGACAGCGGGGCCTACAGCTGTGTGTGTGCTGATCAGATCACATCTGCCAAAGTCAAGATCACTGGTAGATTATTTTTTATAAATTACTTTTAATATCAAGTTGGGGAGTAAACCAGGGTCTGAAATTAATCACAATTATTTATTTAACTCATACAACACGTCAGCTCTACCAGTCACCTTCAAGCAAAAGTTGAGAAACGTGCTGATCGAAGAGGGCAGCACTGCAACGTTGCGCTGTGAGCTGTCCAAGCCTGGTCACACAGTAGAGTGGAGGAAAAGGGGGGATGAAGTTATCAGGAATGGAGAGAAGTATCACCTGAGGCAGAGAGATGCGCTTGTTGAGCTCAGAATCTTTGATGTAACCCCTGAAGATGGAGACATCTACACGTGCATCTGTGGAAACGTAGAGACGACAGCCACTCTAACTGTGAATGGTAAGGGTCACAAAGTTTCACTCAAAGCTCAGCTCATCTGACAAAAACAGATTTGTACAAAATGTGTCTTAGATCAACAGAATATTGCTCTGTAAAGAATATTTTTTTTAAAGCTATATAGTTCACCTTTACTATGCTTGAGGAATTAAATGTTTACACTTTTTTCTCATATTAAAACTTACCGGTACGAGAAAATGCAAATGCAGCAAAGCAGCACAACAATTCACAAGAAGTGGAAAGAATGCTTTGCATTGTAAAATAGTTTTCAATATTTGCTTTAATTGTTATTTTCAACCCAACAAAGTTCAGTCAGTTCATCTGAATGGTTTATTTTTTTTTTGTTGAGACATTTCGCCCTTCATTCAAAGGACTTCATCAGTCCAAAGAGGCAACAAGCTTAATCCCAGCCAGTTGTTGTGGCTTCTTGGACTGATGAAGTCCTTTGGATGAAGGACAAAACTTCTCAATAATAATAATAAAAAGAAACCATCCAGATGATCTGACTGAACTTTGTTGGATTTTTTTTTTTACCTGGATTTCTGAGCATGAATGTGTTGAACCACTTTGGCTATGGCTGCCTCTGAGGAGTCGACGGGGGAGAGGGCAGGCCCCAGAAACCATCTTCTCATCAGCAAACTGGTTGGTTCACTATAAGGAGTGTGCTGCTTGTGGAACTAAATTTGGTGTGGCTCCTCGGACTGATGAAGTCCTTGGATAAAGGATGAAACGTCTCAACAAAAACAAAAGAAACCTTCCAGATGACCTGATTGAACTTTGCTGGATTTTTTTATCTGGATTATTGAGCATGAACTTTGCTGTTCATTTCAACCTCATTGCTTTATGTATTTTTTTTTTATTTTTTTTTTGCCTTTCAGTGATTCCTGTCACCTTCAAGCAAAAGCTGAAGAACCTTCAAGTTGAGGAAGGGCAGAACATCACCCTGCATTGTGAGATTTCTAAACCTGGCGTCCCAGTGGAGTGGAGGCTTGGAGGAGAGCCGTTGGAAAATGGAGACAAGTACCAGATAAAGCAGAGGGACTCCAACCTGGACCTGACCATCAGAGACACAGCCCTGCAGGACAGTGGTGTCTACACCTGTGTGTGCAGAGAGCAGAAAACAAAGGCCACTGTAAAAATCATTGGTATGCTTATTGTGTGGGAAACATGTCATCAGGCCAATCATTTCTATTTATGCTTCTTGTTCATTGTAATTTGTGCTAATGAGATTTATGTGTTTTTTTAATCAGCCGTTCCTGTCACATTTAAAGTGGGCCTGAAAAGCCAGGAAGTTGTAGAAGGGAATAGTGTGACATTAAAATGTGAGCTTTCAAAGAAAGGAGTCCCAGTTCAGTGGCAAAAAGATGGCCAGGTTCTGTCTGAAGAGGGTTCCTGTGGAAATTACCAGTTAAACTTTGAAGGAAAAACAGCTCTGATGACGATTGTCAAAGTGCAACCAGAAGATGCAGGGAAGTACAGCTGTATCACAGGAGATGAGAAAACCACAGCTGAAGTCAGAGTAAAACGTAAGTTTAGATGTATTTGTATTTGTGTTCATAATCTTGTCAGCTACAGTAAATCCAATTGTAAGGTTTCCAAAACCTACAGAATGTCGTAATGGGCTGGTGCAGGTAAACCCAGTGGTGCAGGCAGGCGAGGACTCAGGATGAATATAAAATAAAGGATGTATTTATAAAATGAGACCTGACAGGGCAGCAAAGCTTACATGAATCATCAGGGAGTACCGGTACTCGGGAAGCAAACAGGTCATCACCAGCAGACAGAAGACAATGCTAGGACAAGGAGTGAAACAAACACAAAGGCTTAAATACAGGAAACAACAATTAGACAAACTGACAGTACTGTGAGTAATCACAGATGCCAAAGACAGAGACTGAGGACGCAAGACATAAACACGACACAAGATGAAGCGAAATACTAAGAAAACACAAACCCTTTAAAGACGGAAACAGAGGATCAGGAGAACGCAAGACATAAACACAACACCAGATGGCGCTAGACACCAGGGAACATAAACAACAACCCCTACACAGAAAAGTAGAAGAAAAAAAAACAATTAAAGCCCATTTGAGTATGAGCAAAGGCATATATAAACACAAAATATGGTATTTCTACATAACAGCGCAACCTGTCACCTTTAAACGAGAGCTCCAGCACCTGGTGCTGAAGGAGGGCGACAGTGCAGTTTTCTGCTGTGAGCTCTCCAAACCAGAAGCTCCTGTGGAGTGGAGGAAAGGCCGAGTCCTCCTGAAGCCAGGAGAGAAATATGAGATGAAACACGACGGGCGTCTAACTAAACTGATCATCAACAACGTGGAGGAGAGTGATGCTGGCAAATACACCTGCAAGACTAAAGACAGCCAGTCATCTGCTGACCTCATGGTCAAAGGTGATGTCACTCCCAGCACCTACAAATGACCATAAACACGTTGCTCTGAGTTATGTTTTATTCTGTTGTAAAAACGATCTGCCATGTATTCAACAGAGTCACCACAGCACAGACGTCAAAGAGGTCAGGCTAAAAAAAAAAGAAGACTTAGTGTCACATTTTAAGCTCCATTACATCGAATCCCATTGATGAGACCTTTTTGTTCCATATGTGTCACCCACCTAGTTATCCTGTTCATGGTGTGATGTCACAGTGCATTTACAGCAACTTCACTTCAGATATACTCAACTGATAATTATAGTTTTTTTCCCATGTAAAAATAGATCACATCATACCAGAATCACCTTGTACTTGTGTTGTCAGTAAAAATGGATTTTTTCACAATCCATTGTGATTGTTTAGTATTTATCATAGTACTGTGAGCATGACGCCTCTAGTGATCACACCCCTTTTCACCTAAAACATTCTCTGTCTGCCATTGTCAATTGGTCATATCCCATTTGGTTATCACATAAAACAACTTACTGTTTGGGTTGTGGTTATTGACAGGTCTCCCACCAAGTTTTAAGATATTGCTAACAAACCAGGTGGTGATGGAGGGGAACAGTGTGGTTCTACACTGTGAGCTCAATAAACCTGCTTCCTCAGTGGAGTGGAGGAAAGGAGGAGAACTGCTTAAGAATGGAGACAAGTACCAGATGAGGAAGAAAGACCTGCAGGTGGAGCTGAAGATCATTGACCTCACTGTGGAGGACACTGGAGATTACTCCTGCATGTGTGGAGAACAGAGGACTTCAGCTCACATCAGTGTGAATGGTGAGCATTGCTGTGGTGCGTTTTAGTCATTTTGAAGTGACGAAAACTATGTTTCATCAAAAACCTTAATTTTTTATTTTGTTTACATGCATGTGCAAGTTTTATGGATACATTTTATAAGTAAAACAATTAGTAAACATTATAGCTGAGCATAAGTTATTCTCATATAGTTACTGTAAATTTTTAGGGCAAGATGATCTATAGCAGGTCCAAATTAAGAAAAAAATGATTCCTCCGTCAGCATAAATAACTTAACTATGTGCTAACTTTATTAAGACAAAGGTTCATTTTATGTGTGCAGGAAATCAATGTCAGATCGGTTTTTGTTTTGTTGCTCTCTTCAACTCCACAATGTGAATTAGGCTAAAAAATGGGAACAGCTTGTATCTTTGTGACAGACTGCTGGTAAAAAAACAAAAGGGGGGGGGGGGGGGGGTGTAAAGATTTAATATAAGATTGTCTCTTTGGTAAGTCATCTGTTAAGTAGACACAACACTGTTTCAGTCTTAAGAGTTTAGGAGCCTGTTTTTGTGTACAAATGATTTGTGGGTTAAAGTAGATTAACAAAAAAAATTTAAAAAATTCATTAATGGTCAGACACTGGACAAAAAGAGCGTGTAAAAAAACAAAGCCTGAAGAACTATTGATGAAGAGCTCTTTTAAAAAGCAAATAAATCCTGGCTTAAAAAATGAGGAATAACAGAACTTTTGCACAATCGCTAATTTTTATGCATATGTTTGTTTCGCCTTTTGTCATTTTCGTTCTTTCAGACAACGCAACAAAAATAATTAGTGCTACACGGGTCTAAAATGTGCCAGCAGACGTTTGTATCAAAATCTGAATATTTATCTTTTTTATCTTCTAGAGAGACTCATTAAGTTCATTCAAAAACTAAAGAATATTCAAGTGCAGGAGGGGAGTGGTGTGACACTCTGTTGTGAGCTCTCCAAACCAGGAGTTCCTGTGGAGTGGAAGAAGGAGGACATTGTGCTAACCAGTGGTGAGAAATACCAGATGAGGCAAAGCGGCTCCAAACTGGAGCTTCTCATCAGGAAAAGTCTCCCTGAGGACAGTGGCATGTACAGTTGCATTTGTGACGACGTAAAAACCTCAGCAACCGTCATCATTACTGGTGAGATGCACCACATACCTAAATCATAATGGAAAACAATCTAAATGCTGGCTGATTACTTTGTAATCTTGCTGGTTATTGTCTTAGAAATCCCAGTGAGTTTCAAGCAGAAACTAAAAAACCAGGAAGCTGTGGAGGAAAGTCATGTGACATTTCACTGTGAGCTTTCCAGACCGGGTGTGCCGGTGGAGTGGAGGAGAGACGCACAGCTCCTGAAGGATGGAGACAAATATCAAACAAAGCAAGAGGGCCGAGCGGCAGAGCTGCTGATTAGAAATTTAACTCTGGCAGATGCTGGAGAGTACAGCTGCTCTTCTGGAACTGCTGTGACATCAGCAGACATCAGAGTTAGAGGTACACTTCAGTACTGCTTACAGATAGACACTGTTCTGTTTAAAACTTTTGTCCCACTAACAGTATGAAAAATATAAAATGTTCTGCAGAAAAATGACAATAACCCATTGATAACATGAATTATGATAATAAAAATGTATTTTACAGCTCTTCCTGTAACATTTAAGAAGGAAGTAGAGGACTTGGAGGTGAATGAAGGGGACAGTGCAGTTTTCTGCTGTGAGCTCTCTAAACCTGGAGCTCCTGTGGCCTGGAGAAAAGGCCGAGTCATCCTGAAGCCTGGCTACAAATACGAGATGAAACAGGAGGGATGTCTCTGCAAGCTGATCATCAACAACATGGAGGAGAGCGATGCTGGCAAATACACCTGCAAAACTGAAGATAGCCAGTCATCTGCTGACCTCACAGTCAAAGGTAAGACAGGGAAAAGATTGGAAACTTGAATAAAGACGATTTACCTAAGCAACTTTATGGCTAAAAATAGTTAATATTTTTGAGAGAAACAGTTGACTATGACAAAATCTTATTGAGGCCTTAACAAGATGGTATTTTAAAATAACTTACCAATTAATAAAACATTTCAATCATTTGTAAAATGTGCTAGAACAGCACATAAAAATCACAGAAGAGAAGCACTGATATCAAAACATACCGGTAGACATCTTTTAAATAATTTAGACTGTTACATAAAAAAAAACCAAAAGAACATTAATAGCTGTTTTATTTTATTATGTTTTTGTCCTTTGCTTTTCAGCACCGCCTGTTATGTTTAAAACAAAGCTGAGGAACCAGCAGGTGGAGGAGGAGAACAGCCTGACCCTGAGCTGTGAGCTGTCAAAGCCTGGCCTCGCTGCAGAGTGGAGGAAAGGAAAAGAGCTGCTGAAGAACGACTTCAAGTACCAGATTAAAAATCGCAACAGCGTCATGGAGCTGACCATCAAAAACGCACAGCTGGAAGACAGCGGACTCTACAGCTGCGACTACGAAGACGTGAAGACCACCGCCAATGTCACAGTCACACGTAAGAGTTAGCACATTAAATGTGAGGTGTCAGCAAGTGCTTGTTTCTAAATTTCAGAGAGGTGAAGGTTGGTTTCGTGATCATGCAATTTTCAACAATGCAAAACCCAATGTTTACTTCGAAGGATTATTTCCACAGAAGACACTAGATCTGGAAAAAAAAAAGCCTAAAATGTACTTCCTGTACATGATGACATCATCACTTAACATGTCTGCATAATGTTTAGGTGTTACTAAGCTGCCTCCAACAAAGAGGAGTTACAGTAACATGTTAAAATTACTTTTGCTTTGTCATGGTTGACCAATCAGAACAGACAGAACTGGTTTATTTACACTCTTATAACAACTAAAAACAAAGAAGAAAAAAAATCTATTAACGATAATTTACTTTGATTTCTGACAATCATCTTAAGACCCTCCCTCTCCCAAGACCCAGAGGACTCCTGAGTCCCATCCCCAGGTGTTTGACCAGTCACTGCTTTAAAGAGACTCAAGCTAAAATGGCTCGCAGGAGGTGTAGCAAAGATGTGAAATTTGATAAAAGAATTGTGTGTTTCCTAAATAATATTATGTAATATATTACAAAATGTCGTGATGAAATATTCTAGAATTGCGCCGCTCAAGGTGGCTGCATGTTGGAGCAACTCTGTTACTTTCATTCTGCGATTTTGCTTTTGGAAACTTTAATTCCTCTTTTTCTGGATGTAAATCACAATTTCTTGGATGATAGTTTCCTCTGGTATCGGATGCTGTGCAGCTGGAAGGATTTTTACTGAAACTTTAAGTTTTGGACATTTGTTATGATGCGTAACCATGGCAACAAGACAGTTTTCTACAACCAAGAGCAGCTGATTAACATCTCAAAAGCTCAAATAATATCTCAACTACAGCCCCAAATCTCAAATGAGTTGAAAAGGATGTTCTGTGGACGCATTCTCATCTACCTGCCAGCTGTGCTTGAGTGCCTGACTGCTGAGATCCTGGAGCTGGAGGGAGGCACGGCTTGTGGCAGTGGAGGGATGGGATCGTCCCTCGGCACCTCCAGTTGGCTGTCCGCAGCAACAAGGAGCTCGGCAGACTGCTGGGAGGAGTGGCCATTGCTCTTGGAGGAGTTCTGCCTGGCATTTTGGCAGTCGTGCAGCCCAAGGGGGACCGAGAGGCCAGCCGAGTCTGTATTGAACGGCATCTGCAGCCAGTTTCTTGGGATCCACTGTGGGATGGACCTTTACAGGAGATTCTTCCTGCCTACATCCATCAGTGTCTATGGCATCTCTTAATGAAATGAGGATGGCAAGTTGCAACAACAAATAATTTTCCTCTGGGATTAATAAAGTAAAAGTAGTAAAGTTTTTGTATTTAATTTTTTTGAATGCATGCTCAATAATCCAGGAAGAAAAAATTAGCAAATTTAAGTCAAGGTGACATTTAACTCTAACAAGGTTAAGGTTCTTTGTTGAACAAGGAAGAATCCGTCCAAATGACCTGATTAGATTGTTGTTAGATTGCACTTTATAAAATGTAACTGAGCATGAGTTGGAGTTTCTGAAGCTGTGGTATTATAGGTAGCAGCAAAATGTTGCATTACCTGACCTAACTTGTTTACTTGTCATTTTGGAGTTCTTGTTCATAGACAGTTTTTGCAGAGAAACTGTAGTGTACAGATTTGTACAAGTCCCAGTTTTGATTTTTGTCTCTGCAGCCATTCCCCTCACATTTAAATCCGGCCTGAAGAACCAGGAGGCCCCCGAAGGAGGCAATGTGTGTCTGCGCTGTGAGCTGTCCAGGGCTGGGGTGCCTGTGCAGTGGTGGAAGGGGGAAGACCAGCTCTACCATGGAGGAAGGATCCAGATGGTGCTGAAAGGGAAGCTAGCTGAGATGACCATCAGAAACATACAGCCAGAGGATGTTGGAGAATACAGCTGTGTCTTTGGAGGACAAAAAACAACAGCTGAAGTTAATGTGAGAGGTATTTAAAAAAATCAGTTTTTGTTTTCTTTATACAACATTTAAATACAAAATGAATGAGTTTGTTGAGTTTGTTGTGCTGGGTTATATATTTAATTTAGTTTTAAAACTTATTTTCTGTGCATCAGTGTCCTGTTTACACAGACCCAGCTCCAGAAGAATTTAGCTGCAGGGGGGTGGGGGTGGGGGGGCAGTAAATTGTCATTTGATTTTACATAAATACATAAATAAATGTTTACGTAACCTTGCAATTGAAATAACCATATGTTGTTTATTAATACAAAACAAATAACCTAAACAGTGACATGTAGTCACCAGAAAATGCTGAGAAAATGTGCTCAGGTTTGCATAAACAATCTTTGCATAAATCTTAGAAACTAGCACTTCATTAATCATTGTGTTTGAAACACATTAACACCAGAAACTGGAAGGTAACTGTACATGAACTCTTGAAGAGAGGTGAAAGTGTTTTAAAAAAATACTGAACATTTTTAACATTTACACTCTTTTGTTGAACAAACCTTACATGCAAATAAACAAAAAAACTCTATGGAAAATCCATCTTGAAAAAAATCATTGAACTCAATAATCAGATTTTCTGCCTCTCTGTAGTTGAAATGCATTGAACAGGTTCAGCTTTTCAGACTCTTGAGTAAGGAAGCCCTCTTTCTGGCATATTACTTGATCATATTACCTTATCAAGGTAGCACGGTGGCGCAACTGGTAGAGCTGCTGCCTCTCAGCAAGCAGGTCCTTGGTTCAAACCCCGGTCCAGGAGCCTTTCTGGGTGGAGTTTGCATGTTCTCTCCGTCCATGTGTGGGTTTTCTCCGGGTGCGCCGGTTTCCTCCCACAGTCCAAAAACATGCATGTTAGGCTGACTGGTAACTCTGAATTGTCCCTAGGTGTGAATGAGAGAGTAAATGGTTGTTTGTCTTGTTTGTCTCTATGTGGCCCTGTGATGGACTTGCGACCCGTCCAGGGTGTACTCCGCCTCTCGCACAGTGATTGCTGGACATGGGCACCAGCGACCCCCGGGACCCAAAATGGAATAAACGGGTAAAGATAATGGATGGATGGATGGAAAACTAGTTTGTCTTCTTTACCACCTCTAAAAGTTCAGTTTAATCACCTACAGCACCCTCTGCTGGTTGCCTTGAGTCAATACATTGCACAGGTTCAATTTATTTACGTTGTAATCTGTCTTGGTGGAGGTGGGGGGAGATACCTGAATAGACGAGGCCGCCCTCTGGCACTGGGTCATGTTTACATTCATTCATAACCCAACAAATATGCTGAACTTCTGAGACTTTGTTTTCCATGTCACAAGCTACTGGAAGTTGTTTCTATGCATAAAGTAATCAGCACAAACATACATAAGTCTTCCCTTTGTGACATTTGCACTGCAAAACCAATTTCATCATAATACGTATTTAATATGGCTTATCCAAGTGACAATGCAGTTTTCTCTTTAGTATACAAGTATCATACATGCACCTGTCTAACATTAGATGCAAATATATATTTTGTAACATAATTCCTCCTTTTCTTGTTTAACCAGCTGCAGCGTCTGTATTTTTTGAGAAGGAACTGCAGGACCAAGCAGTGATGGAGGGGAAGTCTGTGCTGATGTCTTGTGAAGTTTCTAGTTTGAACGTCCCTGTCACTTGGAAGAAAGACAACACTGTGGTGGAAGAAGGTGGGCACTATGTTGTAAAGAAAAATGGCCGCTTGCACACTCTGGAGATCAAAAAGTTGCAACTGGAGGACTCTGGAGAGTACAGCTGCATCACTAGAGGCAAGAAGACAACCGCAAGGCTGATTGTGAGAGGTAAGTGAAAAGAGGTAGAATTTCATGTGATGTTTACTCAAGTTGTGAATTTTCATTAAAAAATTGTGAAGGTGTGTATACTCATTTTAGTGTAAATGTACAATTATCTAAAAAAAATCCTGGTGTATGTGTCTTCTTCCTGCTCCTCAGAGCGTATTCGGATTGTTAAAGAGCTGCTAGACATCACTGTGATGGCAGGAGAGGATGCTGTGTTTATGTGTGAGCTGAGCCACTCAGATGTGAGTGAGGGCACCTGGTGGCTCGCTTCGAGCCCTCTGCAGAAGAACGAGATGAACCAAATGACATCCCAAGGCCGACAGCACGTCCTTGTCCTCAAAATGACGACACCTGAAGAAACAGGAACCGTGGAGTTTGTGGTTGGGGAGGAGAGGACTTCTGCACATCTGCTAGTTGTTCCTAAACCTAAAGGTGAGTAAAGGAATACAAGTTAGAGTTCTTTTTAAGTAACAATGTTGCATAACATTCTATAAAATGATTTGATTTAAACTCCAGTTTTATTTGAGGAAAAACCCAGAGACACTGTGGTCATAGAAAGGCAGACAGCTACTTTGTCTTGCACCACGTCTGACTCCACCACATCAGTTACCTGGAAACGCAATCACATCCCTCTTCAAAGTGGTGATAAATATTTGCTGCAGAAGCAGGGTAAAGTCAACCTGCTGCTCATCCATGACGTGGAGCTCCAGGATGCTGGCGTATACTCTTGTGATACTGGAGATGCGCAGAGCAATGCCAAGCTCATTGTGACAGGTAATAATTTCTAATTTCCATTACAAGGTGCAGATATAAATTAGAACTCCTTCTCATGCCATTGAAACACAAAGAAGTTTTGTAAATTTATTTTGTCCTGTTTTTTTTTTTTTTTTTTTTCCAGAGCTTCCTCCATTCTTTCAGGAGGAGCTACAGAGTGTGGAAGCTGAAGAAGGAAGTTCTGTGTCCTTCTACTGTGAGCTGTCCAAACTTGGAGTGCCCATTCAGTGGAAGAAAGATAGGGTGCCTATAAGAACGAGCTGGAAGTACGAGATGAGGCAGGATGGCTGCTTCCTCCAGCTTTACATCAAAGATCTGAAGCTTGAGGACAGTGGCACCTACTCGTGTCAAGCTGGGAGTGCAGAGAGCACTGCCACCATGTCTGTGAAAGGTGTGTGAAGTTAAAATGTGACCATCAATAATTTCAGAGTCAGAGGAAAGGACTGCATTTGTTGATCCCATTGTTTGTCCTTTCAACCTTTCCTTGTAGAGGTTCCCCCATTTTTCAAGAAAGAATTAAGAAGTGTTGAGGCTGAGGAGGGAGGTGCAGTCTCAATGCAATGTGAACTGTCTAAACATGGGGTGTCAGTTCAGTGGAAGAAAAACAGACTACCCCTTAGAGCAAGCAGGAAGTATGAAATGAAACAAGATGGCTGCCTCATCCAGCTTTTCATCAATGAGCTCAAACCTGAAGACAGTGGCAGCTACACCTGCCAAGCAGGAAGCACAGAAACAATTGCACAGGTGTTGGTGAAAGGTATGCCCTTTTTTATGTTGATTGGCAAATTTCCCCATGTCATCAGGATTAGACTCACCAAACATGACACTTTCTATTACCTCCTAAAATGACACAGTTCCTCATTAAAGTCCAACCTTTTCTGTTGCCAGAGCGCTCACCATATTTCAAAAAAGACCTGCAGAACGTTAAAGCTGAGGAGGGGAGAACAGCTTCTCTTTTCTGTGAAGTTTCCAAACCTGGTGTGTCAGTACAGTGGAAGAAGGATAAACAGCCTCTGAGAGCAAACAGGAAGTATGAGATGAAGCAAGAAGGTTGCCTTGTTCAGCTCGATGTCAAGGATCTCAAACCTGAAGACAGCGGCAGCTATACATGTCAAACAGGAAGTGCAGAGACCACTGCGGCTGTGTCAGTGAAAGGTTTGGGAATTTAGAAATATGTATAAATATGTAAATATGTTATACATATAACAGTAGATTATGGGTTGACTGTCCAGTAAAACAGGGAGTGTGGTAAAGAGGTAAAGAAGATAGTCCAGACAGGATGGAGTGGATGGAGAAAAGTTTTAGATGTAATTTGTGACAAAAGAGTGGCAGCAAAGGTCAAAAGGAAGGTTTATAAGACAGTGGTGAGACCAGCTGTGTTGTATGGTCTATAGACATTGGTATTGCCAAAAACACAGGAGAAAGAACTGGAAGTGGCA